AGCCATGCTGGTTAGTCTTCCCCAATTTTCCTTCTTAAAAATATCCTCCTAGCCATGCTGGTTAGTCTTCCCCATTTTTCCTTCTAAAAAATATCCTCCTAACCATGCTGGTTAGTCTTCCCCATTTTTCCTTCTAAAAAATATCCTCCTAACCATGCTGGTTAGTCTTCCCCAATTTTCCTTCTAAAAAATATCCTCCTAGCCATGCTGGTTAGTCTTCCCCAATTTTCTTTTTAAAAAATATCCTCCTAGCCATGCTGGTTAGTTTTCCCCAATGTTCCTTATAAAAAATATCCTCCTAGCCATGCTGATTAGTCTTCCCCAATTTCCTTTTAAAAAATTTAAAAAAAAATAAAAAAAAATAAAAAAATAAAAAACCTTCTAATGGAAGTTATACTTATAGCTCTGATAATCATATAATACCTTCAACTAAAATAAAGAATTCAATTCCAGGCAAAAAAGATTTTCGTTCGTTCTGTCGTTTTACTTGTTGCCATCTTTGTGTCTGTAAACATTTGTATCCCCTCGTGCCGAGCTTGGCAATGATTGGATCTTTATAACTGGTCGTCAAGCTCATTTAAAGGCACTTTCCGAACGGTTTAAACCCCCTTTCTCCACGAGGATCGTCTGATCGTCAGACGTATCGTGAGGTACGCCTAGGGACAGCTATAGACCTTATGTTTGTAGCAATACGAAAAAAAAAAAAAAAAAAAAATTCTCCGTAGTAAGTCTGAGGTAACCCTAATAAGGATAACCCCGTTAAAGAAACCAGTGAATTGTCCGTATGTCTGTCTGATTTGGCTTTACTGTGATCTTTATGACTCGTGAAGATCACAGTAAAATCAAATCTGTGTTGGTGTATACTGGGGTAATAATGAAGCCACATGCTGCCTGCAAATGAATAATTCATTTGCAAAAGCAGATAAAGGCCAGTTTTACAAAAATTGGAGAAACTCCATCCATCTAATAATATTTTTTCCTGAACACTTCAAATCTTTTTCAAATTGTAATTGCCAAGAGTTCTCAAGATATGATGTAATAGGCACTGCAGGGCAGTCCACATTTGTGCACATGTAATTATGGGTTCATTACGTGTTGTGTTAAAGCAGATTTTCTCAAAAGGTGAAAAATTGAAACAACTGTTTGTGCCAAAAAATCTTTAAATTGCAGTTCAATTTGAGCACACCCCGTTGACTGCACAATATTTATTATATCCTCAATGTTCAGTCACTTTGTTCTTAGTGCACGTATCTCACATATACATGTAACTACCAATGCCACCAAATAAAGTTAGGCCAAATAAAAAAAACAAAAAAAACATGTTTAGCGTCCTGCCTTTCTGAAGAAAAAAAAAGGATGGAGGCCCTTTTTCTTTTCTTTTTTCTCCAAAATGGCCGCCCGACCCATTTTCCAAAACGACCGGCCGGGCTATTTCTCAAGATGGCCGCCAGCTTAATTTTTTGAATGGCCGCCATTTGGACTTCAGGAATGACCAGCTTTACATGGGCTAGATGCAACAGACAAAGAGGCCAAAATTATGTTAGTGTTTAAAATGTATCAATTTTTTCGGGGTTTTTTTTTTTTCAATTAAAAAAAAGAAAAAAGGAGGCGGCCTCCAAAAAGGAAGCGGGCGGGGACGCTAAACATTTTTTTGTTATTATTTGGCCTTAGGCTAACCTCGAAAGTGAATCGTCTCAAATTCCCAATTTTTTTAATTTATTTATTTATTTATTATCCACATCCAACAGTAGAATAAAAACCGCCAATTACACCAAGGCTTGTAGTCCGTGGGACGATTATTAAAAACTGCGTAATTACATAATTCACTAGTCACAAGTGTTCGAAGTCGTCTTTCAGTAACTACCAGGGCGTACATGGTGAAGTTCTGCTACGGAATTGAAAATATCAATGGACAAGTTTGGCGACTCCACGCGTGGTTTGTAAATGCAACTACACAATAACAATGATCAAAAGAGGGCGCCAAAAATGTGTGAAAATCGCTATACCGAACGATCGCTATTACGAACAATTTCTGTGGATCTCACAATGTTCGTTATAGCGACGTTCCACTATATGTAATGAAGGGGAACTTGAGATGTAATTTTTGAGTGGTTTTGTAATAAGACGCTTCAACTTATATCTGATATATATGTAATGCCTTTTTTGTCACTGCTATTGAAAAGGGCGAAAGTCTGTTTAAACAAAAATGAATTAACGGCTTTTCGACAAATATCCCGTCCCCCCAAAAAAAAATCATAGAGAAAGGGGACATGGTACAAACATCGCAGACAAAATAGTGAACAAAGTGCCAAGTTTCATATCATTATACTCGCTACAGAATGCACCATTATTGACAGTGGGGTCAAAACGTCAACAGCAAAATATTCAGATTTTTAAAGATAAACTGTACCCTTTTCAACAAATTCATTTTTTTCCATACCGATATTTTCATTTAGTGGGCCCAATTTTTTCCATACCAATATTTTAGGCCCATATGTTTTATTTTAGTATTCCCCTATTTTAGCGTCTGCAAACCTCTATAAAACGGTTTTTGTTTTGGGTTGCCTAGGCCGGGGTCTCCAAATGTACAAAAGCTAAGCCTGAATTATTGTCGGGCCGTAAAAAAATGAAATTTGTAAAAGTACGTTTAAATTACATGTATGATAACTAAACATGGGCAAATACTTGTTTCCGCTCGATGTCTCATTAAAAATTTAATGAATTATATAGCAAATAACCCTTATTTATTTATTTATTTATTTCATTTTCCGGGATATTACAAACAGTGAATTACAGTTAAACAATTACATGTACAAATAACACTAAGTAGTAAACATAACAGAAAACATAACAGAAAACAACACCCAAAAAGCTTCCGCAGGATTACCCAAAAGAAACAAGTTTCTGTCGAGGGGCTCTCCAAACTAATTGGATAACAGTAATTAATACATTTAGGATAAAAATTCATTAAATAAAATATTTATAAAATTAAGCAGTTATTCAAAATATAATTAATATGTGACCGGCTCCACAAAAAAAGGGTATTAAGTTGCGCTGAGCATTATTGTGTAATGGTCCACTCAATGTTGAGAGGGTGAAAATTTTGTCAAAATGTGATTTTCATTTTTTGTCATGACTGACATCTTTGATACCTACAGTTTCAGGTTTCATTCACAGAAATGTTGATTTTGATGAACAAACTGGAAAAAAACAACCATTTTGTGTGCATTGTTCGAATGTTCTACAACAAAGCCAGCTATTTCAACACCTGTTTTCTCAGTTGTGTAATTTCAACTTAAAGGAAATAATTAATATGCAAATACGTCATATCTCCAGAACGGGAGGGGCTATGGAATCCTATTATATACCAAGTGAAAGCTTAAATTGTGGGCTTTCCAACCATGTATATTACTCAATTTCACTTTTTGCGACATAATACCCTTTTTTGTTGAGCCGGTCACATATAATATGATTTTTCGAGGTGAAACTCGAAAATAAAACGCCAGTAGATCATGAAAGTAAAGTTCAACATAACTTGTCTTCTTTTGAACCAGGATATTGGTAGGAGAAATCCTAACGTGAGATCATTAGTCTCACACCTGCGCTGTCGTAATAGGAGGCTTGACCGAAAATTCCAGAAAGATTTTTCCCCGTCCTATTCAAAGCGAAAGTGGTAAGTTCCCCCATCCTACCCCATACATTAGAGTCACAATGTATAGCTCAAAGTCTGGTATTTCTTCATGGCTGGGTCCGCTTCTAATTCTATACGCCAGAAAAGGGGTTCTTTTGTCGTGCTTATACAATGAGTTCGTCGTCATCCCGCATTCCGTAGCCGCCATGGTACGCTTTTCCTTCCCAGAAACTGCATGTACAATATTATTCAACTAAACAGTAGAACGCGGTTATAACGAACAACATGGGATCCATAAAAAAAAAATGTTCATTATAAGTGGTCGTTCGTTATATTGACTGTGCGTTATAATAGAATTTACTGTTTCGGGGGGGCTTAAAGGAGATGTTCGTTTTAGCCAAAATTAGTGTTCGTAATAGCGTAATAGGTACGTTACTATGAACATCTTCATCCCTTAAAAATTCGTTAAAGATCCATTTTCCCTTGAAATTACAGTTAACTAAATTTCCACGGATTTTTCAACATATTAAGCCAGATTAGGAGTCCGTGAAAACACCCTTAAGGAAGTCATTTGTTTACCCATGGAGATAGACCCAGTGTACCGTTACGTATAACCAATGATAATCCTCAGTGGCCAGGGTCATTAAAAAACCGTGAAAATACCCTTACAGGATTAGTCCTATATAAGCCCCATGTGAACGTCCGTGAAACATCTCTTAAAGATTCTTTTCACAGAGAAATGAACTTTTAATGAGGAAAATTTAATTTAAGGAATGAAGATGTGGTCTTCTTGTTTTTCACGGTTAAAATTATGTGTGGAGTGTTGCCTTGAACAGTTAATTCCGGGAAATTTAACTTGAAATGAGCTTTCATTGTGACTAGTCCGATTTCACACAGATTGATCAAATAGGTGACGTAATGCCGAGGGAAATTTTATGGGGATTTCCCTAGCCAGTTTAAATCCGGCAAAAAAAACAAACAATTTGATCTGAACTTGCCTCCAATCCCTATCTTTTGGCCACAACTACCACAAACCGTCCACCCATGAGCAAAAGAATGCCGTGCACGCTCCAGTCCTACACATGGCCCTGTTCCCATTGGATTGTTTTTGGTTAACGTTAATAACGTATCGCGACTTCATTTCCTACGAATGACAAAATCCGATGGGGACAGACGGTAAACTAACGTCCCTGTCTAGTTTACCGCGACCGTCATGTCAAACTACCAGGCCGAAAGTGGTCGCGCAGTGAAATGCCACACGCATTACCCATAATTATGTTGGGTCGTTAAAGACAACTTTACGTCACGCTCGACTAAAAAGGCTAATATAATTAATATAAAGAAAGTAGATAATCACTAAATAAAAACCGCCATTTTAATTGGTGGAATTCACCTTTATTTGACAATGGGAACAAACACTGTTACTATTTTGAGCCTGTCGTTAATAGCCTACATAAACACACGGCATAGGCGACTTTTTTTCACAGCATATTACTTGAATTTAAAGAATGCATATTACTGCAGATACACTATGTACTTTGTACTTCCGTCTTCATTTATTTAACAATTTTGTCTGGAATCCACTTTTTGAACTACCGCGCCACCAAGCAATGTACAATACAATATACAGTTTCCCACAAGTGAGTGTTGTTTCCAGTTGTCTTTTTTTTTCAGGTTCCCTGAAAACACAACTAAAAACGAAACTTTTTTTCCTAATTCAAGCCATGCAATGCGCTTTATTATAATCAAAAGCAATGCAACGTGATTAATAAACTGGACGCCACAATGCATGCATGTTTGTGTTGACAAAACCAATAATGCATGTAGGACAATTTAATATGGCATTGCACCTATGACTTAGTTGCATAAAAGCCTGCAACAACGCCCTCAGTATATCGGAGAATAGCAAGAATTTTTGTTTAAAAAATGGAAAGTGGTTTGGGTTTTTTTCCCACAAAACTGACTGCACAAAATGCAATGCAAAATGAAACTTATTCATTGTAGGCCGATGATAAACTTAATAAGATGGCACGCCCTTAATTACGGGCCTACAATCTACCGTCTATAAATTTGCCGACTTTTCGCAACTAATAATTATTGCAAAAAAAAACTAGGAACCGATTACAAAAAAAATACATGTTCATGAAATATTTATACATGTATTTAACAATTTATTCACGGTTGACTGCTGTGATGTGGGATATGACGTTTTGAACACCCGAGGGCCGCATGGCACCCAAGGCGAATCTTGGAAAAAAAATTTTATTTTGATGCAAAAATCACGAAAACAAACAGCAGTAAACACAGCAATCATGACACTCGAACGTCAACTCACATGCCTGCCGCGTGCTCGAAACAGCTGATCGTCTGCTAGTTCGCTGCTCCCACTCATGTGTAAAAACATGGTGAAAATAGCGTGGGTACCAACGATACAAACGTTTTACACCGTATACGTACCGTACGCACAAAGTCATAGCACACTCCACAGGTAGCGTGTGCCATGACTTTTTACAAACTCAACACGTGATCGTTCTAAGCCAATGAAAATACAGTATTCAAGACAGGTATAACAATGCAATTTCTACATCTACAATCATTGTTTGAAATATCATTTGGATGAGGCTAGACTACATTTTGTGCGCAAATTCACGGGAAGAAATTGTAGAATACACGATATTTCTGATTATGACTAGATCGAACTATAATAATAAGTGGAGCTCTTAAAACATAACTTTTGGCAAGAGCGTGGTGTTTCTTTTCCCTCACCGATCCTAGACCATAACTTGGCCTCCAAGTTAAAGGTTCATTTTCGTCCAAGTACCACCAAAATGCATTGTTTTAGATTTAAGAATCATATATCCAGTTTGTCGCCGTTAACCATCAGGGTAAACGTAAAGAGACATAGCAATAGGTTATTTTTGGTAAAGAAAATATGTTTGTAAAATAAACAATTAAATAAAAATATTTTAGTAAAAAGAAAACACTTCAGTCAAAAAAAATGGCGCCTGTGGTTTCACTATAGCAGGCAATAAAATATCTTATTTCGTCATTGCAGGTGAGCTAGGTTCCCACTTGCTAGCCGTCGTCATACTTTTGTTCACCTTAAGTTCGGTTTGTTTCGTGGACAGCATGGCCTCACCATTAGGAGCCATTGCCAGATACATTCCTGTAATGGGAAAAATAAACCAATAATTTGATGGGGTTTTTCTTGGAGCAGGTAATCGTAAGCACTGACAATGCGCTTTGCAAAATACAATGTCCGGTGAAAACATGAGGAATGCCAGATGAAATGTTATTACATCTTACTTGGAAATACACTTGAAAGCTTAACACTAACAAATAGGCCAATTTACGACGGGGGTGCTGTGGTCCAATGGTTACGGTATTCGACTCGTGTGCCGTGGTACAATCCTGGCCGTGGGAACATGGTGCTTGTGCTCTTGAACAAGGCACTTTACCACTATTGCTTCGTCCTTCGGATGGGACGTAAAGCCGTAGGTCCTGTGGGTTAATTGTGTAGGCCTAATGCACGTTAAAGAACCCAGTAACACTTGTCGCTAAGAGAAGGGGTTCGCCCCGGTGTTTCTGGCAGTGGCTGCCGCACCTTGTAAAACCCTAGATGGAATATTTCGGAGGACCAAGGACCAAGTACCAAGTACGAGTAGGCCTACAACTGTATTTGAAATCCTCGAATGGGCACCTGCATAACCTTGGGTGTTTATTACGGGCGTACTGAAAACCCCGTTTGCAAGTGACCCGCGAACCATGTTCTCATGTATTACGAACACCCAAGTGCATGTGGAGTGCAGCAGCTGGGCAAAGATTCAAGATGGAAGCGGCCATGTTAAATTGCCGAATGAAAAGAAGGGAAACCAATAATCTTGCGAAAATAATTGAAATCCAGGACAGCTGTAAATTGCCAAAGACAAGCCCACTCTATTATCACTTAAAATTTCAATTTTGTATCATTTAACTCTAAAAGGGCCGGGTTATTTTGACCATCTCTCAGCCGGGGGGGGGGGGGGATTCCGCAAGATATCGGCCATCGAGTGACGAAGATTTTTGAAACTCGGTACATGCATACAGCAACTCTTCATGAACATAGGCTACCCAAGAAATTTCATGACTATAGGTCAAAGGGTTTGAAATTATGGCTAATTAATTATTCATATGTACGACTGGTAATTCTGGGCTATGTACACGACGTATATGGGGAAATTCAGTTGTCACGGCGCGTAGCGCCGTAAAATTTTTCGCTGCGCGACAACCCCTGGTCCGATATTTATATTTTGGGTGTCAAAAGATGCGTAAGGCTCGAGGCTAAAATGTCATAACAGCTCGGGTCGCGAAAAACGTTTTTTTAAGGCTATCGCGGAAAAAGTCGAGGGGGACGGATTCCGCCCCCCCCCCCCGGTCCCTTTTAAGATTAATAGTATGTACTGGTCCTGTATTGAATGATGGCTTTCAGTTTTATGCACAAAACTTAACGCAAGTTGAGTTAGGAGCCTCATGCAGTCCGCCCGGTATCTGTGTTCTTGACGTTCTTCATCTACTCCCAATTAAAGTGGGGAGTGAAAATCCCGTCCGCGAAGACGCGAACACCCTACTTGAGTTGGTTCTCGTGTTAACAGGAGAACGGGTTTCGAATGTGCCCTATGTGCGTCTATTATTGAGACTTCTTTAAAGTCGTCACGTTACCTTTTGCCACAACGCTCTCTAAAGAAAACCCATTCTGGTAATGCTTCTGGTACCAGAAGCGGGGATCCGTTGGTATATCCTTCTTGTTAAGCATGTACTTGGGAAAATCCTACACAAACAAACAAAATAAAATGACAATTATCATTTTGTTTGATACATTTCGTTATATTTTAGACATAGACTGGATTTAAACGATGACCCATTACCATTTTCGTTTCCAATAGTTAATTTACCATTGACGACCAAAATAAGAATGTTCAAAACCTGTTTTCAGTGGATATTACACTTTTCGATAAAACAGTGAACAACCATGGACGAAACAGCGCTTTGTCATTTTTCACACGCGAGCAGCGTAGTTTTTGTGAAGGCTTCGTGAGAACAATAATATTATTACATTGCGCATAATAATTCACGAATGTGATTGGTCGAAGCATCGTAGTTTTTCAATGGGATGGGTATATTATTCGTCCGTTTGACTGTCCCGTGCTCAACAAAACCAACTTACCATAGCTGATACAGTATTGCCAGCGGTACCCACTGGTGTGGTACTCTCTGGCTGTTTCTTGTTGGGCTTGAGGGGCTGTAAGGAGTAGGCCAACACGTTGCCGCTTCGAGGTTGGCCACCGTAGTACGAGTACCCATGGAAGATGCCTTGAAAACAATTGCAAAGAAGTTCCGTGAAGTTGATTTGTATACTTAATTAGTTTGAGCTTCAAGTTGTCAGTCACCATACAATGGCATATTCCCCGGACATTAGGACTTTTAGCTCTCAAACACGAATAGTCTCGCCTATAGTCGAACAGGACCCGAAAGTGTCGGGGATTCAGTCTGTCAGTCGGGGAGTCAGTCGGGGAGTCAGTCAGTCAGTCAGTTGTCCGGGTTTCCAGTGCCCATCTTCAGAAGGGGCACAATTTTAATGTTGCCAGCGGGGTAGGCCTACTTGTGCTTTCGAGGGACAGTTTTCCAACTCGAGAATTATCGCGCCGAGGAGCACTATTGTTTCTGATGGCCGATTTTCCATCTCGAGAGGGGCACAATTTTGTTATTACGAGAGGGGTATTTGTGCTTTCGAGGGATAGTTTTCCATCTCGAGAGGGTGCGCAATCTTGTGAATGTGAGAGGGGTACTTGTGTTTTTGAGGGTCAGTTTGAATTACAAGAGAGGAGACAATTATATTTGTAGCGCTATCATATCGCTTTCTACGTGTGCGTTTGAGGGGTAGTTCAGTTTCTCGAAGGGTCAAATTCAATTTTGTTGACACTTTGTTTTGACACTTTTGTTGACCTTGGAAAATCTGGGAGTGAAACAAAAGTGACCCCCTGCCAACCCACCCCAGGAATAATTTATTGTGGATCTGCCCTTGGTGCCCCCCCCCCTTAAAAATGTTGGTGCTTCCTGGGCAGCAGTGGCGTCACCAGACTTTTCAGTCTGGGGGGGGGGGGCACAGCGGGGGCACCAGCATTTGATGGGGGGGCACTTAGGTGGATACGGATCGCCGTCCTGGGGGAGGGGTCTAAGCCCCCCTCCCCTTTGGAAAATTTTCGCATACGGAGGATGGGCTAGATGCAAAATGGTGCCACATTTGATGCTAAATTCGATCTGAAGATATCTCCAGAAATTGCTATTTTCGAGGTAATGATTTTAACAACGCGCAGAATTTTTTTTTTACCAACCCAAATCTCAGATGGGGGGGCACTCGGGGGGGCACTAGGTTTTCCAGGGGGGGCACGTGCCCCCCTGGCCCCCCCTTGGCGACGCCACTGCTGGGCAGCGCCACCTAAAAAAAAACCTGCCTACGCCACATGCTTCATTGTCGTTGCTGATGTCGTCAACATCATCCATTGTCGCCGATGTCATCAGTCATACCGTAGTCGTCACTACAGTCACCGTCATTGTCGATGTGTTTTGTCGTCATCGTTGTCTGTGGATCAAACCATGGCACCTACTCTGCTTGCTGTAAGTCGTAAACACAACCTTGTCTTTCTGAATGCTGAGATACAACTGTTGCTTCCCGTCGATGTAAATATCATATGCAACGACCGGTGGTCCTCGCCAGGCAAATGACGGGCCAAGGACAATGAATGGCATCTCGTCGGTGTCGTTTTCAAGCGTTTGGATGACCTCGATCTTTGGGATGCCATCTGGGGGGGGGGGGGGAGAACGGAATAGCTATCCAGTTAATCTGGACCAAACTCCGGTTAGTTCGCAGATTCCAAAATAAGGTGGGATTTCTTTGATAGAGTTACATTTTGTTAGTGGACATCGTGAATATTCAAAGTTACAATTCGGGTCTAGTCCATGTTCATTGAAGTACTGATCATTGTCTTGTATATAAAATTCTTGATTTCATTCACATATACATTTTGTGTCTATGATAAATTATTTTGCTTTCTTTACTTGGGTTGATCAGCAAGCCCAACTAAATTTCTAGACTTGTTCTGGTCTAGCCGTGACAAACACCTTTACGAGCAGTGGCGGGATGGGGGGGAGGCAACTTGCGACATTTGCCCTTTATATTTGAAACGAAGGTGCCGGTATGAAAGCACCTCACACAGAAATATGCCGCCACGAACTGAGCACCACGTGTTGTTCGATATATAGTTCCCAACACGCATTGAACAGGGTTCCTAATCGGCTAGACGGTGTCCATCCCCCCTCCCCCTTTAAAGAATAATGGAGTGATATACGCTGGTAGAGAAATTCATGGTGTCGCTGTAAATTAACACTCTGGTAAATAATTGTACTGACATAAAGCCTGTCGTTAATCAATTTTAATACAGTTTGAAAATCACCAAATCCGTATAGGTAGATTATTATCTGGGGGAAAATGTAACTTAAAAGGCGAATGTCACCTTCGTGCCAAACTTACCTTGCCAAACCACCTTGAAGATGACCCAAATAAACAAGGACGGTTCGCCAGCAATCTCAGGTTTTCTCTCAACAGCCTGTATAATACATTAAGGAATAAGAAGCGTGACAACTCGTTTTCGACGCTGACTACCGTGCCAGTTACCGTCATCCCGAGTCCATTTGACGATTTGGTGAAACAATAAATGAGCTATAAGTTGTCTGAATTCAACAAAATGACGCGATAAATTATATTAGTATCTTAATAAGTGGTGTAATATCAGTGGAGCATGGAATATTATGTTGATTTGAAGAACCGTAAACTGAAGTTCTAGAATCAACATCTGGTAAATCATCTTAAACATTTCAATGTGCCACCTTTTGACTTCCCAATGGCAACGAACCTCTTACTTTTGCAAGACAAGGCAAGTCTAGTGAAACTGGTCTCAGACAAGTCTATAATAGTCACAGTGCACATAATTAGGTATAAAAGCATGATGAAGGCTAACAAGTTGTAACCTAGCTAGCTCGCACATGTAACAACGAAATAAGATGGCTGCTACACGTGTAAAGCCATCGGTGCCATATTTTTTTTTCTAAAGGATTTTGTTTTTAATAAACTGTTCTATGTACAAAGAAGACACTGGGACCAGCAAAACATTAGCCAGCCTCGATGGACCCTTCCCAGTGTCGTTCGCACTTAACCAACTAGATCACGACTTTGGGTCAGGTGATGACTGCGACAGCTCAGTCAAACCTAGTCCCAAGCACTACGAGAAACGTCCCCCAACCCAGGATGGGCGGGGCTTATACATGGCCAAATCCTGAACGGCCCATTCTAGCTCACCAGCATCAGTTGAGGCACTTGATATCCGTGAAATGTGCGCAGAAGGTCCAGAATGAATTCAATGCCAAAACCCTCGATGTTCGTGCCGTTTATCTGAAACAGCTTATCGCCGGTCCTGGAAGAACACATCGAACACAAATTATCCAAATAGTGATGCATTTTAAAATGTCCAGATTTTGTCTCGATTTGTTTGGGGTGAAACTTGAAAGCTAGCACCGACAGTAAATTTTAACCTTTGATCAGAAAATCCTGGCGATTCAGTTCTTACCGGAAACCCGCGGAATAAGCTAAGCCGTCTTTGGCGACGTTTTGAAGGACGTACTGGCCATCTATGTCGTTCAAGTCCGCATCAAAGTCCACCAATTTCCCGCCGACAGCTTTAAAGTTGGGGAGAAACATGGGGCCCCCAAATTCCTAAATCGATATTGAAATAATAGAATCTGCAGTTGGGTAGCACGGTCATTTTTATTGGGTAGGGGAATTTTTTGAAAAGGGCTCTTGCACATCCGTGGTGAAATGTAGACAGGTTTTTTTCTCCGGACACTTGGCCTCCATAAGATCAAAAAGCGGGGTGGGGGGGGGGGTACCATCTGGCGATGGGGGCGCTGTTCAAAACCGATGATTATGCACACAAACGGCCAATATAATTATGGTGCTTTCCAGGACGATACATGTGCGAAATTCACTAAAAGGCACCCAAAACGGCAGATGCCACAAAAAAGGGCACCACTTCTTTTTCAAAAAGGGCACTTGCTCCGAAAAAAATGCACTTCTTAAAAAAGGGGCACTCTTTATTGGGGGGGGGGGGGGATAAGCCCGTTGAAAAAAGGGCATTTGAATGGAAAAAGGCAGTCTTTATAAAATATTGGGGGGGGTATTGGGGGGGGGGTAAATACCCCCCCCCCCCCCTCCTCTCCCCCGCTGGCTACGCCTATGATCTGATTAAAACTTAAAAGACATTAATTTAAAAATAAACATAATTACCTAGATACGTGCGGATAAGACTCCGGTATTATTATTATTACTATTAATTAAAGGGAGGAAGCGGGGTTTTTTTTAGGGGGGGGGGGGGGGTCCGCAAAGTTACGAAAAAGCCTTTGTTGTTTGGTTGGTTGTTTAAACATGGGCAGGCAGCTCCTTGCTACATTTTGTATATAACATTCAAAATTTACTTATATGTGGTTTTGTTCCTCCTTCCATTGACGCCCCGCCCCGAAAGTGGTACCGAAGCACAAATTATGCAAAGTCTGTACTCGCATTATGCAAGTGAGTATACTTACGGGAGCGTTAGCCTGGTGGGTTTCTTGAGCTGATCTTTGTTCACATGCAGCCTCATCGGGCGATTGGGTTACCTTCTCCGGGCTTGTTCCTTAATGGGCCAATGACCAATTCATTAATTAATTGACCATTGTCATCGATGGATAAATGGACAGGTGGATAGACGAACAGGTGCATGTTTGGTAGGAAAATAAAAGCAAAGAGTTTCAGGTTCGATTGAGGTAAAAAGGCTAGTTCGGTGCATGTATTTCAACGTAAAGATTTGAGGATTTCCATAACCGCCCACCGCCTATCGAAATCCTCTTTATCTACTGAAGACAGGCTGGGATTACCGAAACGTCGTTTCCAGCTGTTTCTTTCAAAACCTCGCAAACTCACCCCCAAAAAAGAAGCTATTCGTTGTCACATGGTAAACAACTATCCTTATTGCCAACCTACTCGTGCTGATTTTACTTTTTGGATTAGCAAAGCAGATAAGGACAAATGGAAAGTTGGGGACCGAGTCTGCAATCCGAGTGAGGACGGATAAGTCCGGACGAAAGTTGAAGTGTGCTATACGAATAATATCTTCAGTAAAGGAGCTGTCAAAAATGTCTCATAACCCTCATACGTCGGCTTTGCGCGCATACGATTGACTTAGAGGACTTGTGAGGACATTAAAACTTTTCCCTTTATTTTGACCTAAAATATTTCAGTCAAACCCTTCTTCCGGCAATAACATGAGCACTTTGCAAGGTAAGGTTGATATAGAGGCTGAAATGGAAAGCTTTGCCCACTGCTATTTCGCTTTTCATCACGAAAATGATGCAGGAGTCCGGGACACTGTGTTTTTGCTTTTGTTTGTTGATTTGTTTATTTTTGAGTGATGATACGTACCTTTTTGGCGTTTTCTCGCAACGTTTCCCATGTTCATACAAAAGATGTGTTCTCCTCGAGCAGCTAGTTTCCTGCAAATGGGATAAAAGGTCGGTACGTTGTTATCGGTGTCTGTCAAAATCGAGGAAGTACATGTGGCTTTGTGATTGAAATTATAGAGGACTCTCACCGATCCACGTGACCCGACCAATATCCGGTGTCACGGTCTCACTTCTCCGGCGTGCTAGCTTCTCCGGGTTGATTCGGCGGATAATTGAGCACGTTACAGTGCACGTTACATGATCACGATTCATGCTCATGTGTCCGCTGTGCTTACTTTTCCTCGGGCTGTTTTCTGAAGTCTACCAAGCCCAATAACACAGTGAGGGACACCCAAGAATGTGTTATGTAACACTTCCTGTGGGTCAAGTCATTCCATGGTCTTGCAAGCATTCTGATTTGTGTTCCCAGCGTCATGCATGTGTGTGTTCATGGAGGAATAATTAAGAACGAACTCCTTGGTCCGTGTTCCTTGCTCGTTCGTGGTCCATTTTGTCCTTATTTTTGCAACCACGGCTTAAAATAAATGTGCATTTCAATTCAAGTCTTTAATATTGGGAGTTAATAGTGCGCGCCACGAAAATTCTATGCAAACAAATATCTTACGTACACAAGTACAGCCCCGAAAAACTCAGCACACTAATACAGTGACGAAAATGTACACTACTGCGCAATTTTGTGCATGCGTGTTGAAGCGATATTTCCCTTTTGGAGAAGCTAGCACGCCGGAGAAGTGAGACCGTGACACCGGGTAGCGGAAAGTTTGTACCGGAAAGATCGTATAGCGCCGCGCGCAGTAGGTAGTCGGGCAAGCCTTCAAATCTGTGATGGACGGATGGCAAAAACCACGATGAGTCAATAAAAAGTGCTGGGTGGACACGATTATGATAAACGGACCCACGGCACCATAGTGACCATTATGCCATTTGATAACGATTTTGCGTTTATTTTACGTGAAAATATAACGCTACGGTCTGAATCATTGAAGCCCGGTTCATACTTCATGCGAATGCGAATTAAGCGAATTTGACGTCATATAACATTTGCTGCAAAATTCGCCCGAGTTGAAATATATTTAACTTTTACGAATTTGCAGCGCAAATACTTGCCATGAACTGCCATAAATTTGCGTTCACTTTGCGGCTTTCGCGCCGAGTATGAACCGGGCTTAAAAGCCCGATTCAACTGAGTTGAACATATTTCACCTCGGACGAATTTCGCAGCGAACGTTTCATGACGTCAAATTCGCTTCGCATTTGCGTGAAGTATATGAACCGGGCTTGGTAACGGTTTACAACGCACGACGTGGTTGCTAACCAAACGTTCGTGATACTTTGACACGTACCTGCAACTTAATACAATTATATTTTGAAACAAATCAATATGGCCCTGATCCCCTGAAACATTTCAGCTCAGTTGGTACGATACCTTTACGTGAACTGTGTATCATTGAGTCGATTAACATATGAGGTAAACTAAGAGTGAATCCTTGATCTCGTTAGCCAGCATAACAAGGACAAACCAAAGCAAGACATGCTACAAAGTAGTCCGCAAATGGATACACTATCTGAACACACAGTCATACTGTTACCATGCAGCTATAAACACAGACTGACAAAGTGCATTGTAAGTGTAACCTGGACAGTGAATCGTCTCAAATTACCCATGCACCAAAGCTGGGCACGTGCTGCAGAGCTTATAATACAAACTGGTCGACTCACAAAAGGCGTGACGATCAAAACGACCTTACCTGGTGCGTACACGGTACGGTCGGAACAGCAAAACGTGCATGCGTGATGTAAAGTAGGGTAGCTTCACTTGCAGATTCGGCAGCGCAAATTGAAGTTGCAATGGGCACTAGACAAAATGGAGGATCTTCCTCCATGAGTGAACACAGTGCCAAGTTTCATATCATTAGCCACTACGGAATCCACACTCGAAGGTCATCGGCGGTGCTAGTGGGGTCAAAATATCAACGGGAAAGTATTCGTAGTCTAGTCATGGGCGCCGCCCCCCCCCCTGGAAAAGCAAAAAAAAGGAGGGGAAAAAAGAGGAGTGAAGTCATATTATTTGCTATTAATTTAATACACATTTAATGTGCTAGAGAACATACAAGGAATTGGGGGGGGGGGGCATTGCTTTGCCCGCCCCCCTAGAAAAAAATCCTAGCTGGCGACGCCCGTGTTCGTAGTTTTAAGATAAAGTGTACCCTTTTTAACAAATTCGATTTATTATTCAATGGCTGACTCGTGGATTCTTCCAAGAAACTAGACAATAGTTATTATTTAACTATATACCTGTAATTGTTAATGGTCTCCTTAGTTTTCATCGTTAAATTATGTGCAGTGTAACCTTGAACGGTATAGTTCCGGGAGTCAATTTGAAAATGAGCTTTCATTGTGACTGGTCCGATTTCACACAGATTGATCCAAATAGGTGACGTAATGCAAAGGGAAACTTAATGGGGATTTCCCTACCCAGTGTAAGTCCGGCAAAACAACTTAATCTAGACTTGCCTCCAGTCAAGCTTTTGACCTCAACTTAACAAGAAACATCCATCCACATGACATGTAAACCAAAAAAATACGTGCACGTTGGCTAAAGAACAAACAACATTGACTGTTTGTGTAAAGCTTGAACAGATCAAAACTTAATAATACACTTAATAAAATACCACATAAAAACATAATTCCGTAACAAAACTCACCAATGACTTTTTACCAGTGCAAATGCACACAGCTAGCGCAGGGCACCCAAGAATATCAAGGAAAAGAGAAGATCGAAGCACATGAATAATGTACAACTCACTTCTATGCCGCTGGTCTGCTAACTGAGTGGTATGTGGCCTTACATTGGAGAGCTCATATAGGGACTATTGTTCCTGTGGGTTCGTGTTACTGGGAAACAGGAAAACCACTACTATGAAAGGATAGGGGACATCTAATAAAACAGACTAGATTTATTCAGGGGGGGGCTACTCCTATACTAAAAACACTAATGAAAAATGCATTGAAAAAATTAATTCAAGTCTTAGCCAAGTAATTCGGACGCGGCTTCTCTCTAGCCCACGGCTCGATAGTTGCAGACCAGTAAATATAAAGTTGCCATAGATCCCAGTAATAAATACCCCATTTCCAAAATACAGGAATAAATCTCCGTGTTTATCATCTGTCATTTTCTTTCACTTTTTTTTGTTGGGGGGGTTTAAATCCGATGACTTTTTCCCTCCGAGAAATTTCGATCCAGAGATGATAACCCCTAAAAGTAGTCCTGTGCCCATCGCCATTTTGAAAGATGATGCCTGCGCTCCATTGTTTAATAGAACAATTTTAGGGCCCAATGTCGTCCAAATTGCACAGAAATACGAGCTCGCAGTCCTGTTAACGGCTTCCAACCTTCCTTTTTTACAAACCCTCAAGTTCATGGTCCACAAAATGCTCCAATAAAATGCAAATCGTGATTTGGCTGACGCGCGTACAGGCACTGGGCCTATTTTATACTGGCCTGCAACCTGATGCAAGCCACGCCCAATGCTGTTTTGACCAATCACAGCGGTGTCTTTTATCCGACATGCGTGCACGCCATAGAGCTGTGCACGACGCGCGCGCACGGCCCTGCTGGACAGCAGTATCCGGTTCGTTAGTAAAAACGTCATATACACGCGCGCGCACCCCTGGTGACTATTCACGAGTCGGCCATATTGAATGGAAAATGAGGTAACATCTTAATTTTCGGAACTTGCGAAGAGAAATGAAAGCCAGTTAAATCCTAATTAATTCCAGTCTGCTTCAATGAATAATTTTAACTTTGTTAGTTTAAAATTCCCTAATGTTTAAAGCCACTTAAAAAAGACAGTAAAATAAGGCTGCACTGTGCCTGCATAGTCTGGCGCCATCCCATTGAACAGTTAACACTTAATGAAATACGTTCAGGGAACTCGAGAAAAAAATGGCCAACTCGTGAATAAGGCCCATTGGATGCTACCGAGTTGCGTTAGTTTGGCCAGTGGACGTGGTTTAAACTGAAGTGACGTCACATGCACACTAACGAGCCAGCATGCGCACGTGTTGGTTGCCACGTGAGCAGTGGGCGGGGCTTAATGGCTCGGTCGATTGTGCAACCGAGAGCCGCACGAACAAGGAAATATCACCCGCATTATTACCACATAATTTGTACATGAGTCGTTAAAGGCAACTTTAGGTTACCCTTAACTTAAAAGGCTAATGTTTTCCTGGCTATTTTAACAGATTTTCCATTCAAATTCACCCACTGTATCATTTGATTTCGTCCACGAAATATTTCTAACGCTTTTAACAAAAACAATTTAGTCATCTACCATTCAAGTACATGTATCAAGTTTGGTCACCCTCTTTAGTCACCATGTCGAGAATAATCGTCATTACAGATCAAACTCGTCTAGACTGTTGCCGAATGGCAGCATTCAGTGAACGAATTCGTCTGATATAAAACAACTGGACGAATCTGATTTCTGAATAACATGAATTTGTTTGGACTAAATTTGAAAATGTCTGCCAAAAGACGAGATAACATTGCAAGTGCAGTAAATCGATGTTGCCGGATGAATGTGAGTACATGTATAAGAATCGGTGAATTCGAACAAAAATATTTTAAAGTAGCCGGGAAAACCTATATTAGGGAAGCAGTAATCACCCAAAAAGAGTCATTTGTATTGGTGGAATTAACCTTTATTTGACAATGGGACAAACACTGTTATTTTCAGTCCAACACAATCTTGGTCTTGGATGATTCAGAAATTTTTTAAAATAAAACTTGTCGATAGACAATATTTAAATGACAAACAATAAATAATCTGTACTATGAGCCTGCCATTAATACATAAAAAGTTCAAAAACGGGATAAGCGACTTTTTTCACAGCATATTACTTGAAGTATTAAAAATCAACTACTGTGTAGCATTGCTAACGGCGGATTCTTTATAGGCTTATGATCAGTCGTGTTGCCCTTCAAAACTACATAACGATATCTCGTTCTGAATTCGCATTCACGCTCGATGCATACGCGCACAAACGACGCGAGGAGAGTTAATAATAGTCGTGGTTCCAAGCCGTCGTCAGCGGTGCGATGTTTCAGCACGGCACGGGCGATTCATCGCCGCAATGGGAGCCCTTGATCACATGCTAATTGCGTGCGGTTTGCCAACCGAGTCAGGTTCTCGAGTGGGGACATGCAAGGCTGTAGCGTCTAACGTGAACTACCCAACTAAGAACGTCTCGGGCCAAGACTAGAAGAGAGTTTGACTGGCTCCATTGGCATTGTTTGAACTGCTTAAGACGCCAATAGAGGGCGCTAGATGGAGGGGTTAACGATCGCTCAAAACCTTCAAGCATCGGTCAACATTCTCGATCTCACCAGATTCCCGTATTTCAAAATTAATAAACTACGAAATTAATCAAGCTTGATATTTTATCAAGGAATCTCAAGGCCACAAGAAAAGTCTTCTTTGTAAACTGATGTTTTCTTTTACTATGAGACAATGAAATTGAAAAAAAAAATTCTTCACAGAAAAATCTATTTTCCGGACAGTTGTTGATAAGAAACCATTCTACACACCAGTCCACTGAAAATACACTGAATGCAGAGCAGAAACATACGGTGAACACGATTTTGACCCAAATATCTTCTTTGTTTTAGTCGAGAAAGAATGTTTTCCTGTGGTCTACAGACATTTATTGTCACACTTTACACGGTTCTATCTTTCATAAACATCTTTATCCAAAAACTAGTTTCACCCAGACAATGTTTTTAGATACCAACGTTAAATTAAAACCAAACAAAAAATAGTCAATTTCTATCATTTCCAGATATATTTGGTCTTAGCTTTCTAAAAGCAGCTATTACTACCCATACATATGCATGTCGCACTTCCGTCTCCATTTATTTAACAATTTTGAACATGTATAGAATCCACTTTTTAATTTTTTTTTTTGAACTACCGTGCACACCAATCAATGTACAATATATAACTTTTAATAACTATGAATACTGACTTTAGTAACAAGGTAAACATGTAATTTATTTTTTTTAAATAGTCTCCGAGTAAGTGTCGTTTCCCAGTGGTATTTCTTTCAGGGTCAATGTCCTTTGCACCTACTGCCATGGAGACACGATGACTAACTTTAAAAAAAAAAAAAAACAATCGGCCAATTAGCCCCAACCTTATGGAAGTGATGCTGAAAATAGCCAATCGGTGGCTAAATTGAGTCGGTCGTCTGATTAGTATTAAAATATATCACAATGTTAGTAACATACTTGGCTGATCTATCAGTGACAGAGTCATAGTAAATTTAAGACGAGGAAACCCAACAAAAAGGTAACAATATATGACTTGAAGCTTTGCATGGTGGATGAGATAAAAGTAGAAAGATTGCAGGTAAACACCATGTGGAAAGTAATCTCTTCTTGGAAGAAGTGTGGTTCTCCAACCGGTTGCAGAGTTCTACACTCAAACAACCGGTTCTTTTCAGAACCACCCTTCTTCCAAAAAGAGATTACTTTCCACATGGTGTTACCTACAATCTTTATACTTTAACAAGAGAAAACTTATAAAATACTGTTGAATCTATTCCCGAACCGTGTTTAAGGCATCTACAAATTACACTACTTATCTCTTTTGTTGTGTCTTTTATATTCCACGCTATCGTCGTGTGTCACATTGAATGGTACTCCAACAGACAAACAAAAATCTTTTAAAAAAAAATGAACATTTATACACGCAGAAACGACTGTTAAACATCTTTACTTCATGGTGACATACATGTATTATAAACATTTAAAAGTGATCCATAAAGCCTTATAGTAAAATTTCCTTCTCTCTGGCCAGGCATTAAAAATAAACCGGGCCCAAATTCTTGCCTCTCCCCTTTGTAACACAAAAACAGTAACAGACAGATATCAAAGAAACAAAACGCCGGAGGGCAGACCTGTACAAGCACTATTACACACCGTAACAGCCACTTCAATAATGATAAGAGTTAAAACACGTTTGTTATTTTAAATTTTCAAATCGAATTTTCACCTCTAAATATTCACTTTATTTAGAATTCAATGCGCTTTCCTTTGTAGTTTTGCAAAGGCAAAATGAGGCAGCTTGGTTGTACAGGTAGTTTTTATATTCCTAGTAATTGACACAAATTCAGCGGTTAACCTCCATGCCTACTTGTGTTTGACTATGCTCTCTTTGACCACACCTTACACTGGACGAGATGCACTTGTAAAATAACTTCACGAAGGTGAAAACAAAAAGGAGACCATTTGCCATTCAAGGAGCGTTGTGTCTTAAGGACGCCGTATTTTGCGCCTTTGATGGTTGAGGCTTTCGAGGATGTGGGTTCGAATCCCGCTACAGACAAAGTGCCAGCAACTTTTGGCAAAGGACTTCACTGTGTCAACCTTTGTAGGCAAATTGATAATAACAATACAAAACTGTGGTCGTGGATAACAGCCACATTTAACATACAGACACCTGTCCTTTTTACAGCTGTTGCTTAATTAAGCTAATTCTAAACCGTAAGCTTATAGCGACACAACGAACACACAACAGACTGAAATGAATGCAGAGGAGAAACATACGTTATGGAATTGTGATAGCATGTGAAGCATTTTGAGCCTCTCGTAAAACCATTCCTTAAAATGCTGGTACGATGATCTACGATCACAGCGTTAATTCCTAGAGCCTTCAAAAAGTAGCCTCTAAATGAGGCTAAGCAAGTTTGACGAAACTCCAACTCCAATTCAGAAAAACAGACAGATGTACAGAGATGAAAATGTTGTTGCTTGAATCGTTGAGTGTGTCCTGCACTTAAATTCAAAAGTGCAAAAGTATGTTATAGATGCTGATGTAATGTTTGCGTGGATTCTATGCAGGAACTGTGCAGGGGACAGTGTGGCCTTCTCATGAGAAGCAAGATGGGACACACACTAGCTGCTCAATGTTCACAAGCCCAAGTGATTGTTCTGTAGTTGTGGGGACTAGACACTGGTTGTGCAAATGAACATGTACAATAGGTTTTGTAAGGACTAAAAACCATGTGGGGACAATCAGAAGTCCCCACAACTTGATCAAAATTGTCCTAACAATAATGTTTTCATGTAAAAGAATTCACCGAATATTTGGCGCATGCTGTTACAACGGCACTTAAGTGTCCCCTATCTCACAGCAAAGTGCTGCCTTTTCACTGTTGAAAAAAAACCACTTAATTATGACTGAAATCTGATATTTCATTTGATGAAACTTGAGCCCAGTTTCACAAAGCTGTTTAGCAGGAATACTGCTCAGCATAATAACAAGTTCCATAAAAATCAGCCTGGAACTAAATATTTGTTGATAACCTGTTTGTTTTTTGTGTGTGTGCAAAGCACACTTAACCTGCTCAGCTGAGAAGTTGGCCCCTTGGTTTTCTAAAAACACACCAACATATGGTTAAAACTTGGTTTCATGAAAATTACAGGATACACACACTTCCCAGATTGATCGGAAAAAGGAAGTTCAAACAACTGTTACACCGATTCTAACCCGGACCAGATTAGGTGTAGCACACCGGTGCTTAGCATCACCGAGATAAAACAAGTCACAGAGACAAATCACTCAATATACACAAAAATGCATTAAATAAAGCCCTCCGAACAGAAACAAAATAGTTTGATAAATTACGCCCTAAGACCGGCTGTTTGAAGCTCAAGTTCTTCAGCCAAGCCGAAAAGTCATTCTCTAGCGGATATCCGGGAACTACTCACAACAGAACAAAAAATATACCTTTACAAATTACACGAGGCCGGCTGTTTGGGGCAAAACTTTTTTGTTTATACAAGCTTGTTGAGGTGGTTGTCTAGATGGAAAGCTGGGGACTACTCACTTACTCCGCGAGGAGTTAAGGTTGGCTTGGGTCTCATGGGAATGAGGGCGGTAATGACAGAACTACACGACAAGCTGTACAAAGCTGTTGTACTGGGTGATGTTGCGCTTGAGGATGTCGGCGCAGGGACCCATGACACGCTCGAAGCGTTCCCGGTCCAGCTTGGCGCATTTCAGGGAGCCGCGGGCAATGACGGTGGCAGCACGGGGTCGGTTCAGGACAAGGGCAATCTCACCTGGAAACAAGGAAAAAAGGTAACAAATATGGATTGTCTTCTCCATAATTCCCTCTCGAAAATATCCTTGCTGCCATGATGGTTTGTCTCCTCAATAATTCCCTCTAAAAAGTATACTCCTTTCCATGATGGTTTGTCTTCTCCTTAATTCCCTCTCAAAAATATCCTCCCGGCCATGATGGCTTGTCTTCTCCTTAATTCTAAATAATATCCTCGTAGTCAAGATGGTTTGTGTTCTCCAAAATTCCCTCTAAAAAAAATCCTCGTAACCAAGATAGTACGTGTTCTCCATAATTCCCTCTAAAAAAAAATCCTCCTGGCCAAGATGGTTTGCTTTCTCAATAACTCCTCAAAAAATTTCCTCCTGGCCATGATAGTTTTTGTTCTCCTTAATCCCCTCTTCAAAATATCCTCCAAGATGGTTTGTCTTCTCCTTAATTCCCTCTAAAAATATCCTCCTAGCCAAGACGGTTTGTCTTCTCAATCATTCCCTCTGAAAAATATCCTCCTAGTCATGATAGATATTTTTGGAGGGAATTATGGAGAAGACAAACCATCGTGGCTTGGAGGATATTATTCAGAGGGAATTATGGAGAAGACATTGAAGCTACATGCATTATGCACAGTGCAGGCATTTACGACTTGTGGAGGAAGTTTGTCTGGTTTGTGAAAAAAGGTTGCTTAACCCTGACCTTCCCAAATCCATCCACATCCATCCCCCATTTTGGAGGATTTTGGCAGACAAACCATCTGTACCAAGTCCATCAAAATCCACCTATAGTAGTGGTGGTCTTGAGGTGGATTTCAGCGGATTTGGTCCTAAAAGCATCATGTGAAGCAGGGTCAGTGATGAATTTGGAGGACTTGGTCCAGTACTTAGTAAAAGACACTAGGGAGTTAGGGTTAAGGATGGCTTGATTTCTTGATAATCTGACTTGCTGCATTGGTAGAGATTGTTATGGCTGAATAAAACCTGAAGATCTGTTTTAGTGGATTAGATGAAAACAACCCATCTTGGCTAGGAGAATAGTTTATCATGGCAGGGAGGATATTTGGAGAAAAAAAATGTTGCAACCTGACGCCACTTCAGCGGTTGTGTACAAAGTCTATGGAGAGTCAAGATTTTTTTTAAAGTATTTCCAAACAAAATTGGAAATGTTTCTCAGTCCCAGATTCATGTCTTATCATCATTTTTGCAATGACTGATCTTCATTGAGATGATATATGAAGAAAAAAGTGGCGTCAGGTTGGAGCATTTTTTCCGGATATTTTTATTAATTATTATTATTTTGTATATTTTTTTAAAAATTATTATTATTAAATATAGGGAGATGTTTTGACTGGCATCACTGAAGTTGGGAGGGTAAAGGGTCAGGTTTGAGTTTGGAAGAGGGGTGACGCCTCCACCATCATTCATGTTTATTGGCACAATGGTCTTTCATCCCATACTAGGCCGTACTTTGTTTCAACTTACCGAAGTAATCCGAGGGTCCTAGCTTGGCCACTTCAATGAACTCATCCTGCTCATCACGCCTCTGCAGAACCGAAGCTTGTCCCTTGAAAGGAAAACCAATGAAAGTTGTGCCAGTGCCATTTTTGTGAACCAAATTGGGATTAATTAATTAATTAGCATAGCTGCCAACTTTTCAAAATCCCAATTAGTAATCAACCCGCGCGGTCATTTTCAACTGCTCGTTTTATCAAAAGCTTTACCAACATCGAGTACAGGTACATGGTTTACATGTACACATACATGTGCATACCTTTCTTGTTGTGAATAATAATGTACTGTAGGCCAAAAGATAATTTAAAAAAAAAAAAAAGCTGTTGAAGTGAAATAAATAATAACATCAATAACATGTGCGCATATTTTTTTTGAGATGCATGCAATCGATGTGGAGTTTCGAGTTCGTATCATGTTTTTACACACAATGATTTAGGGCCACCGTATGCAATAGAAATATCCCGCCAACATACCTTGCAAACGCATGCTGATCTTATCTTTTCTTATTGTGACAAACTCAAACTCTATTACCAATTATTCCAACCATACTCTTATTAAATTCCATGATTAAAATCTCGCACTGATGGGTCTCATCCTGGCAATAAGCGACTAAATGTGCTCACGATCGTCACTGAAAAGTACTCGCATACAGTACACACAACCACACATCCACGAGATGCACACAAATGACACACCATTGAAAAATATTTTTAGTCTGGTCCTCAAGTACTCCACTGCGCACACTGCATTGATGTCTATCAGGTGCTTGACTGCATTTTTATTAGATTTGTCACCAGTCCATCCGTTATCGCGACATTTCGCCAGACGTTTTCGGTCAAAAACGATACTTTACAAGTATATTTTCTTTCGTTAGGTAGAAAATGGGAAATTCGTAATGTTTTAGTGGCAAATCGTATTTTCGTAATTTAACAAACAATTCGTAATAATTACGAAAAAATCGTACTAGTTGGCAGCTATGAATTAGGATTATTAGCTCTAATTAGGATTATCGCATAGTGAACAAAAGGATTATCTTAACCCCTGACTTTGGATCACAAAAATGGCGCTGGAATCAAAACTACTGAGCTCTTGGTATCATTTCCCTTCGAACAAAACTTCCTAGCCATACATATCAACAGTGTAGGTCTCTGAATAGTGGTAGTTATGAGGGGTGTTTTTTTTTTGGGGGGGGGGGGGTTGGACCACCCTGTATAAGGCATTGTTATTATTCTTACTTGTGATTCCTGTGTGGTTGACTGGATTACTGAACTCTAACAGAGAGACTGGATTATCTTATACTTGTCTCACCTCAACGATGATGAAGAAGTCGTTACCAGGATCCCCTTGGACTACAATCTTCTCCCCATCTTCAAAATTGACGGGCTCCAGAGAATCAGCCACTGTCAGGCGTTCCCATTGGTCAAGACTCTCTGAGATGACCAAAACGATTCAAGAAGGGGTATTAAAGGTTACACCAATGAATTTGTAGGTTTTTCATATTGGAATGAATAAAAAACAAAGAAAGGTACTTTAAGTGGCTACTTAGACGAGAAACTCAAGAGAAGAGAAGTCATTATAGACGAATCCTGGCACGTGATCATTGTACACACCTGTGGCCCCCTTCAATGGAGGAATCCTTGTGCACATTTGTTCTAAGCAACTGCCCCATAATGGATTATCTGAACAATAGCTAGCACAACGCTTTCCCAACTGAAGGGGGCCTTCGTGAACTGATAGCGTGCCCAGATTGGTCGATTTGCACCAGACAAAATAACTGTGCATTGATTACAATCCCGGCGTAAATAGCTCCTTGCTCTACTTGCCACTAAGTTGAGTGTGTTCGGGTAAAAAAGATGTCATTTGATAAAATAAAACCATGAGTCACGCCCTTTTAACCGTCTTCCAGTAACAGAACGGAGTGTTCTCGTGGTTTTGTTTGGCTTTTATCTGTAGTAGACCATCAAAAACTGGGCCACTAAATTGCGTTTGTTTGGGTAAAAAAGATGTCATTTGATAAAATAAAACCACGAGTCAGGCCCTTTTAACCGTCTTCCAGTAACAGAGCGGAGTGTTCTCGTGGTTTTGTTTGGCTTTTTTTCTGTAGTAGACCATCAAAGACTGGGCCCAAAAGAATGTCACCACAGGTATCAAAAGTAAAAGGTATTACGTAAAAGTAATTATGTAATTAATTAAGAGTGACCATCTGCCATATTGCAACTGTAATTCACTACAAAGGGGGCAAATGACAGAATTGACAAAAATGACTCAAATTGACAGCAACAAATTTCAAAAGACATCACACAATGTACCAAACTTATAAGAATAGACTTAAACCTTGAGATTCTCGACACGAAAAGATAGCAATGCGGTATTCAATGTTTAAGTACATGTACAAGTGCTGTTAACCAATATCGGGAAATCTTTCATTACAGATGACTGTTTCCGAACAAAGCCATTTGGGACGTCAGCTGAGAACTTCAAGAATGGCAGCCTCTCGCCTAGAGCAAGAGCTTCTGCACAGGATGTCCGGATTTGAGAGTGATCTTATCAGGCATTACAACATTCTTGTACTCAAAGGAAAAAAAAGGGAAGGCGGAAAATGGCTGGCACACAAGAAAAAGAAATTCACCCAGGAATCAGATTGAATGGATCTAGATTTGAAGCAGAGAACATTCTAAGAAGGTAAACAAATTCTTAAGACCTGATGTTTTCAATTCGTTCGGATTTTGTCAAAATTTCTAATTAAACAAAAAGTTGGTAAAAGTCTCTCTCTTTGTACAGAGTGTTGAGCAATTTTCACTCTCATCCTGCCAATCCCACACATCGGAACCACACCCATCTGAGGGCTTCATCTCAGTGAAATTGACCACTGTTTTCCTAATTGAAAAGCATTGATGATCGTGTTGAGGAATTGTTACTGTGTTGAAGTAGAGTCCATCACAAGTCTTTCAGCCTCAATTTAAGTCACAAGCTATTCCAGTGAACTGTGACAAAAGATTCCTTGTTTTTCTGTTCATCCCCTGTTACTTGTGGCGCGATGTGTATGAGTTTGTTTCTGCATTCAATGGAGTACCGAAGTGTGACGTCATTTAGAACTGAACGAATGGAGTACGCGCGCGTGTTGGTTCACGGGCTGAATCACGCGCTAATGTCTTTCACACACAATTTGTGTGTGTGATGTATTCACTTCGGTACTCCATAGGGGATGTTGAACAATAGAGGACAATAGGGTCCCCAATTCCTGAGAGGTCCCCTATTTGGATTCGTGTACAAAACATATGGGAGGTCTTCCTAAAAAGTACAAACAAAAGAGAGACAATGGGGGTCCCCGATTGCGGGCAAATACACACTTGTGTGTGTGTGTGGGGGGGGGTTCGTTCTATAACTTTGGGGTCCACTTTTGCTTCCTGTCCCATTTTATTTTTACAATTCTGATGCACACCTGAATGCTGTCGTTCTCAAAGAGTGATTATGAATAGTGAACTGCAATACTTATCCAACAATGTAAAGATTGTTTGAAGTCATTCTTAACCCTCCTATGCAAACATACATTCTGCCAAGTTGTCTTTTCAGGCAAAATCAATCAAGTGACTGTTTTCAACAGTTAAGAGCTGCCAGGCTACATAAAGCACGATTGACTGGCTGTGACTGTTAATGGAACTTGATACAGCTATGCTATCACTGTAGGTGATTGATAAGACTGCTGTGCCACTTGTCAGATTGCTTGCTTGAAATATTATCTGACTGTTGGTGACTAGCCTGTGTAAAAGGCATGGCAGGGGAAGCGGATGGAATTTTTGACTGTCTGGGACTGTTTAATCAGCAGGAGGGTTAATGATACTCGAATGGCAAACTTGAAAGTACAAAGGTAACAGGAACAGCAACAATTTTGGACCCAAATTTAAAGAATGACCCTTATGGACTTGTGATTTTCTTATGACCAGATCTTGTGACGGACTTCATGACAACACTAAACTCAGGCATGCAACTGGGAATTTTAGAAAAAAACTAAGAAATTCCAAACCACGCAAGACTTTGTACAGTGTTTTTCAAGTTGTGATGGCATTCATGAGAAGTTAAAAAAAAACAAGGAAATCAGTATAAACTGTGAGCTGGTAAGACTTACCCAGGATGGACACCTTGGACAAGAAGGTCTCGTACAGCTTGCGTTTGCGCAGGGTGCTACCCATGAGGATGCGCCGATAGCTGTCTCTGTCAATACCCCACAGCTTCAGGTCACCCTTAGCCTGGGTGGATGCAAATGTGGAATTGATATTGGATATTGGTAAGTATTGATTAGGGAATCGCTATGATTGATGATCTTGAAGAACTTTTGTCTCGTCTGGCCTCAGTAGATCTCACAAAGACTGTTGGAGAGATTACGCTAGGAACAAAACACCAGGTTCCCTAACTTGCACCATTTATGTACAATAGACCATTATCATGTTCAAATGAAATTAGGTTTTGCCCTTCACCGACGTTTAAACACTGTATACTCAGTGTATTACCTCCCAAGTGAAAGTTGGAAAAATCACTCGGGTGGGACTCAAACCCACGACCTCCTGCTTTCTAGTGCAGATGTCTTACCACTCGACCGCCGAGCTAACGGGATAGGTTGGCCGGTTCGAATCTGATGTTCATACATGTAGCAGCGGGTACCGCATAAACTATTACAAGATGGAATTTTTGCACCAGGGTGATATAAATCAAATTAGGTTTTGCCCTTCACCGACGTTTAAACACTGTATACTCAGTGTGTTACGTGGGTTCGAGTCCCACCCGAGTGATTTTTCCAACTTTCACTCGGGAGGTAACACAATGAGTATACAGTGTTTAAACGTCGGTGAAGGGCAAAACCTTATTTGATTTATATCACCCCAGCGCAAAAATTCCATCTTATAACATTATCATGTTGGGCCATTTGCCTTTTTACCATTCACATCAACGTAACCAAAACAAGGCTGGAAGGTGAAATAGTCTGGGTCCTTTTTGCACAATAAACATTATCCTTCATTAATGTTATTTGGATACAGGGAACATGACTGAAATGGGGGCAGCATGATAAAGGTCTATAAGGTCGTTCTTGTGAAAAGTTTGTGAATGCACCAAAAAATTATCTCTAAAATAGCTGTGATTCCGAGAAGAACTGGAAGTGTTAACGTGATGTTTCTGTCAATATATTATGCTCTGACCAGTTTTAGAAGAAAATTATTTCATACTGTGTACCTTGTTTTTCTTCTTTAGTCCTTTTCTTGTCTGAATGTATTGTAGTGTCAGCCTTGTCATGTTCTGCTCATACAGACAGTAGTCTAAGCTTGAATGTTGTATTCATCTTTGAATAATAACAACTTGAATTTGTGTCCTTGATAGGGAACTAGACCAAGATGGCAGCAGTGTTGGTTATTATTTACCTTGACCGTGGCAGCTCTGGGTGTGCCATAGATGAGGGCCAACTCTCCAAAGCTACCTCCCTCTCCGATGGTTGTCACCAAACCTACGTTATCCACGTAGATCTATTGCAAGAAATACAATAATCATTTCATCATCACTTTTACCTTCAATTAGCCTGTTTGAGACATGGCGGACACAATGGGCTCCCTGCACAAGTACCCCTTCAACGACCGGAAAAAAAAGACAGTTGGGGGAGACCTAGACTGGTTCCCGGTCCATCCACTGTGTATTTTGAATGATCCAAAGTTATTGGGGGCGGGGATTAGTATGGGAGACCGTCACAGTTAAACTTGGACGTATTCATGCCGCCGACGCCGCCTGATGCTCACGCGCGAAGACGCTATAATAATAACAAAGCATTTGTAGGGAGGTGCACAGTATCTGAAAATAATAGTCATTCAAAGGTGCCGGTCAGTGAAAAGTCAGTGTGTGTAAAGGTAGTGGTCGTCATGTGTCAGAGAGCTATGGCTTAGCTTTATGCACATTCAGGATAAATAAGTTGTGCGTACTTTGCGCGAACCAGGACAGTATGCTCACACAGTGTCCCGTCCTAAGGGGCTCTCAAAAGTGGTAAAAACGCTCCCTCTTTTGTTGACACACAGAGCCCATAACTTGGGCGCTACATGTACTTGTTTTCTGGGGGTAATTTGTACATGTACAGTAAAATCTTGATAAGTCAAACCTCAATGGAACAGACTCACAATTTGACTTCAGCAGAATTTTGAGTTAACCAGGGTTGTTACTTGTATATCATGGTTACACTACTGAAGGCAATGGATTCCTTGTTTGACTTAACAGTTGTTTTGAGATTATAAATCAGAGTTTGACTTATCAAGATTTCACTGTATATGGAGTTTCCAATAAAACAAAAATATGAACCAACAGAAAGTTCACCGACTGTGACCTGAACATTAAAACTACACTCCCAGCTTTTCAGTAAAGCTCCCAGCGTGGTCTTATAAGTGCAAGACATTTCAAAAGGAATACATGCAAAAAGTAAATATGACATGCGTGTACGTGTACATGTATCAGTATGCGTCATTCAATTTTTCCCGAGTAAACATAAAATCTATACTACGTGTTTCCTTGAGAACTTAAGTGACAAATATTTTCTTTTCCTGAATCTTCAAAACATGAAGAATAACCCGCTAATTTCTCACATTTCTGTTTGCAACTTAGTAAAGACATGCGTCAGGTTTTTGAACCCGCGAAACTAAAAATAACCAAATTTCCTCAAGCTTATAATGGACACAAGGTGTCGGAAACCAATCAATACTCACATCCACTTCACCGTCATCGATGACGTAGAAGTTGTCTCCGTCGTCCCCTGGTGAGAACAAAATAAGAAAAATAATACAAGCTTTAGGAATGACGTTGCTTGTGTTTATGTTGACAGAGGTGTCATGTTTACACCTTGAGTTGGGGTGGTTCCGAGCCTTGCTGTGTTGAGAGTGGCATTTGGTTCCTGGTTCGAGGTGGGGGGGGGGGGGAAGAGGGGGGGGGAAGGGGCTTGCCATTGATTGCACTCTCAAGGTGAAATGCAGTGTGAGGACTCTTTCCTCATCACAATTCCAAGCCTCACACTTGTTTTTTTTCACACTTTTTTTCACATGCTCCAGGAGACAATCACTGTCCGTACCTATAAGCACATTTTCCATTTGTAAAGATTCCATTTGGCCGAACCAACAGTTTTTCCATGGAATTTGTTGAATTGTTTTATTAACATAAACACCACCAACCTTAATTCATTTAACGATGTACACACTTTGCAGAGTATTTCTCCAAAGCAGAAATCTATTTCATTTCCCCTCATGATTTAAAAATGATTTACAAAATTTAAATGATTTACAACATTTTAATTATTTACAAAATTTAAATGTAACAGAAAATAGACACATTTCTGAACGAATTGTTAGCTTCAAAAGAACTTTAGGAAGTCAAACAAATGTGTTTCCCGATCATAGCTTGTGAACAAATAAAATGAATTTCGAAGCCAAGACTGTTCAGAGAGTTCGTTCCAACTTATGGCTTAAGTAGAAAGATGTACAAGAACATAATTTTTCTCCATCCAAGTATTAAACAGATGTCCTGCAATAAATAGTCAACAAGTAATCTGAACCAAAAAAAAACATTTTTGGTTAAAATACACTGCATGAAGAAAGACGACTTTGCCAAACACAGGTACTCGTACTAAAATTCAAGCATTTTTTTTGAACAACTTTATAACGATTACATCAGGCAGCTGGAATTCAGCTACGAAATGTTTCCAGAGTTCAGGGTATCGACGAAAATCTCCCAAAGCTTAGTTTCCACGAGTCTGCAGGCCACCTTCTTCCTTTGCAGTAATCCGGATCTAAATATAGCCATACATCGACATCTACGCCTTCCCCTCTTTTTCTGAAATCAGTTTTATTGATCCTAAACTACCAGATGGCAAGACCAGATGACTGCATGTCTTTCAATTGAGTTCCATACAGTCATGATCAAGGTCGAGTTATTGCACAAGATCGTTGATGGGGAAGAGAAAGAAAACTGGAGTTCCTACATTAATCAGAAACAGGGACCAATTACATGAAATTGCTTCTAAAGCAATGTTGCTGAGCAGAATTCAACATTAAGCAACAATCAGCAGGGAACCAGTCACATGTGATATCAATCGCATGATATTTTGGCTGGTAACCTGTTATCGCTAAGCCAATATATCCTGTTCTTAGCAGATTTTTGTGCTTAACTGCTCCATGATAATGCAACATACATACATGTACACAAATACATTTACTATGTACAGGTACCAGATGGATCACAAAAAGTAATCCAAATTTAATGGCTTAACATTTTTGCGTTATGAGCTTGAACACCGTCAAGTGTGGCTGCATCCTTAACTGCAGTTTGTCAACTTTTCATTTACACGCCTTATTTGCATTTCGGTAGTCATGACTGACCGCGCGCACCACTGATTTCAAACATAAAAGCCGAATATCTCCTCTTGGTAAATTTAACGGAATTTTGTAAAATAAATTAATAAACAGCTGTGCTGACAACTGACTGCTGAAAAAACAAACAAAAAAAACAACAATTGATTGACCTTAACGACATGTACCCTTGCTCTATGCATGTACATGTACATACATGTAATAAGTACGCTTGTGCATGCAAGAAAATATCCACTTGGTATTACTGGGGTTTAATTTTTGTAGTAATTTTTTTCAAGCAATTAACTATGCTCTTAACTAGTGCTGGGTGAGTATCCTGAGTACTCAAGTACTCGCGAGTATTGTTTGCTACTCATTGTTTTACTCATGGTTTTTCATCTACTCATCTACTTTTTTACAAGTGCTGAATTAGAAAAAAAGAATCCACTTTGCAGTCTCTGTGCCAATCTTGTCTTGTGTCTTAATACGTCCCGCAATAAAAACATCACTAACTCCATCTGTTTCCTTGCGATTCCGCTAGCATTCTCAACAAATAAATTTTCCACTGATGTATAAGGTCAAGACGAAGGCCATGTGTTCATGTTCATTTTTGCAAGTTGTGTTTATTTGCATAAAACGTTTAAAAAGCAAAGGTATGCAGTCATTTTTCTATGCAGTCTTTTTTTTTTTAGCAGAAACCTCTCATTTCAGTTTGGAAATAATTTGGTTTAAAAAAAATCGGCATAAAGAAAGTGTCTTTTAAGTTATCACTCGTAGAGTCAAGTGCACCATCAAAGATATAACATTCTTGATTAGCTCAATTGTTACTACTCAAATAAATGTCACCATCAGACGGTGAAAACGTGAAGATGTGGTCAAAGTCCAAAGTAGTTCCTGTATTAAAGGCTCTCACATTTATTGCACAGCAATAAAAATTTCAAAATAATTGAAAACTCACTGTCCCCTGTCTTCCTCCCTTCAAGGCATATACTTAATCCTGTCCTTTCCTGAATCCTTGCCCTGAAGTTCTTTCCGCAATACAAAGTGCAATTCCACAAAGCATAAACGAATAATTTTTTCACCGCTTCCGAAAACTGTAGGGGTTCATGAACTTTTCATACTGTCCAGAAGATTGGATACATGTTCCTGACGTCCATTTAGCAAATTTCATTTGCCAAACTAATTAATCCTGCCAGCGAGATTTAAATCATGAAATGCACCCCTCTTTTCTCCGAACCTTCGGCCCCGAAGTAACCCGCAGTGAATTGCAATTTTCAGACGGGATCTTTTGCCCTCATCATTTGGGGATTGTCCTGACACTAATGGGCATACTCATCTAATAACAATTCCCAAGCCTTCGCAAGAGCCGTTTCACACCGCCGTGGCTCCAGGCCACACGTTTCTGGGCCCGAGCGCCAGGCTGCATCACTTATCGAGCGGTGTGCAATGGGAGCTGCGGATCGTATTTCCAGCGCGGAGAGAAGGAATGGCAGTGGCAGGGTTTTGTAGTGTAATATCTCAATCAGGCCCGTGGTGTGCAGGGTTTTGGGTAGCGCCGTGCCTGGTGACGGATCAATTATGTTCATGTGCTGCATGCGAAGCATGATGCTTGGATCACTAGTTTGTTTGGAGGAAGCATTTCGTGATAATAACATGATATCGTGCATGTAACTTCAATGGAAACAAAATTATCTACAAAGGGAAAAAGTGTACATGAACATACACGTACATTGCAAAATATGAAATTCACTAATCTACACTATAAGTCATTCCTAAATCCATGTATCAGATATGTAAAGAACATATGTACATTGCATGTATTTTGACACAAGTACATGTACATGATCACAAGTGACCCGAATTGAAATCAGAAGAAATTTACAAGGGTTAGGGAAAATGTTTCTATCGTTTCTATCATTTCATCATTCCATAAGGGTACTTTTGTGACAATAAAATCTAACATTTCAAAATGTGGAATTCACTATTCTTAAATCCAAAAAATATAAAGAGCATGTACATGGACATATTTTGACACAAGTTCATGTTGATGATGTTCACATATGACCCAAATTGAAATCAGAAGAAAATTTTTAAGGGCTAGGGAAATTTTTCTATCATTTCATCATTCAGTTTTCATTCACGTTTGTGGCAATAAAATCTTAACATTTCTGACTTTTTGAACTTAAGACTAAATATTACCTGCAGTATCCTGAGGGAGGGAGACATGCTCATCACAAAAATGTCAAGAAGATTCTGTGTTTTTTTATTGTATATGTTTGTCAAAAACACTTGCGATGGTCAATCTCAGAATAAGATGGATGAGTTTAATGTTACGTATCATCCTTGTAAGCAAATTACACATGCAAGTTGGCAATCAAATGTGCTATGCTCATTTGGTTTGTGCTAACGAAAACTTGCTTGAGGCTCTTTCAAAGCACTGTCCACTTCCTGGTGAAAATTATCCAAATTTGACTTTCCAACTGCATAAATGTGTTGATGCTGGAATGCATTTCTGGTAAAACGCTTGACTTGCTTAAATTATTAACCCTTTTGTGCACAGCGCAGTTGTGGCGACTGCCAAAGAAACGTTATAATCTGTGCATCTAATCCAAATAATCTGTGCACCGAAGGGTTAAAATGTCAAATTATACCAGCAATACAAGCAAAAGGGGTGGAAAAAAAATTATGTTGGCAATGGAAGGACTAATTGGAGCAAAGGTTGAATACATTTGCAAATCTGCTTGTTTGTTTGTGTCTCTATATTCACACGTACATGTACATGTGTACAAGACACAACAAGCACAAGATTTGTTTGTCAACGATGTAACACTTTTTCCTGTTCTTCAACAACCGCCACCGAGGTTATGAAAGATAATCGGAACGAACAACCTTCACATTCAGCAAGCCACCTAGAAAATAATCAAACCCGTCTTCAAAGAAATTGTGACCTGGTTTAATGATCTGTCAGTATGTGATAGAAATAACCTCATATTTTCTATAATACAGTGCTCAGTTGAAATGAAAAAAATACAACACAACTCCATTGAAAAAAGCAATAACAATTGACTTGCAATTACAAGCTGGACACGGAATTCTCAGATCAGGACATTAGTTATACTAAGTGACTCAGTCAATGGCTCGGGGAGTGACTCAGTCAGTCGGGGAGTCAGTCAGTCGGTGACACAGTCAATGACTCGGGGAGTGGCTCAGTCAATGACTCAGTCAGTCACTAAGTCAGTCGCTCAGTGACTCAGTCAGAGACTCAGTCAATGACTCAGTCAGTCGCTCAGTCAACAACTCAGTCAGTGGCTCAGTCAATGGGGGAGTCAGTCAGTCAGTCAGTGACTCAGTCAATGACTCAGTCAGTCACTCAGTCGCTCAGTGACTCAGTCAATGACTCAGTCAGTCGCTCAGTCAGTCGCTCAGTCAGTGACTCGGTCAATGGCTCAGTCAGTGGCTCAGTCAATGCCTCAGTCAATGTCTCAGTCAGTCACTCGGTCAGTCGCTCAGTGACCAGTCGATGACTCAGTCAGTCACTCAGTCGTTCAGTCAGTTACTCAGTCAATGACTCGGGGAGTGGCTCAGTCAGTGGCTCAGTCAGTGGCTCAGTCAATGACTCGGTCAGTGGCTCAGTCAATGCCTCAGTCAGTGGCTCAGTCAATGACTCAGTCAGTGGCTCAGTCAATGCCTCAGTCAGTGGCTCAGTCAATGCCTCAGTCAGTGGCTCAGTCAATGCCTCAGTCAGTGGCTCAGTCAATGCCTCAGTCAATGGCTCAGTCAATGCCTCAGTCAGTCACTTAGTCAGTCGCTCAGTGACTCAGTCAATGACTCAGTCATTCACTCTGCAAGTCGCAAGACAGTAGGCTGGGCCTTGTGGCCAGAAAAAAAACACCAGACTCCAATAAAAGTAAAATAAATTAAACAAATGGGTCATTCTTTAAATTTGGGGTACAAAAGTGTCTCATTCTGGCACCCTGTTACACCCGACCTGTGTGTAATTTGGCATGAAAATATATCATTGAAATTGACCTCAAACTATTTTAAATTGTTAAGCAGGTAATTTGCATTACATAATCACTCTTGGAGGTAGAAGGCATGAAGAAAATGTGTTCTGAATTTACAAAGTCTGATGTTAGATGTAACAGGGACACCAAAAAATTGGACCCCGAATTTATAGAATTACCCAGATACAAAGCTGCAGGAAAGGGTTTAAAGCATCATCCGCTGCATCAAATAATCTCCAGAACTGTCAAAATATCACCAAAAACAGCCGCATCCTGGCATGACAAAGGACCGTACCTTGCTTGATAACGACTTCGTCCTTGCTGTGCTTGACTGGGAACATAGCATCGAAGATATCACTGCCAAAAAAAAGAGAGAAAAGTTGGAATAATCTCGAATCAGAAACACACGCATCACTAGGCAATAAGTGAACATGTCTACTTGCCACTCAAGTGCACACGTACATTGTACATGCACACGGACATGTACAATTCACCCATTGCAACACTGCAAGTTTATATCTTCAAAAATGATCGCTTAAGAATTGTAGATCTGCTAGTGATGGGAGTTTCACCGTAAATCTTTGGCAACATAATGAGAAACAAGACCATTGCACTTATTTTGGTTATTAACATCAAAAGTACCAGGTAAAATGTATGCGTACCCGTACATGCAATGCAATATTTGTTTTTCTTTGTACAGTCCAGTCCAAACACAATAATGAGAAATTTACATAAAAAATAAAATTCACTTTTCATGAAATTCACTTTACACTGCAAGATATTTGCTGTGATATCACGTCTGCGTGGACTGCAAACAACACTTAAGACTTTCTACAATTCTGAGCTACAAAAGAAACACTTCAAATTGTAATTTAAGCAACAAGAGGAACAATTCAAATTGTGGTGATACTAATGATCTGCTGTTTTTCCCCTGTCATTCCATTTTTTTTAAAAAAACCTGCCTTAATGACATGAAAAATATGATGACCGTTATCATGTATTAATATCCATGCTACTAAACTGGCAAAATATATATTACATGGATGTTCACATCATAATAAGGTCATATCAGGAGAAACAAAAAACCTGTCTCATTTCATGCATGATCTTGTTCAGGGGGCTTATCGACAACGAAACCTTAGCCCCCTCCAAGGGATGGGTAATCAAGAACTAGGGTCGGATTCATTTTCAGAGGCATGTACATGTACACGTACATGTGCACGGTCATGCCATGCACAATGGGCTAAAAAAAAAAAAAATCAATTATTTTTTTGTAGTTCTAGATTGGTCATTTATTTTTTGTTATTAATTTTTGGCAAAATACGGAAACAATTCAACAGTTTTCCTTGCAAGATACATTATCCTGGGCAAGCTTTTAAAAAGACATAAAATTAAAAACTAAATTTACGCACATTTACACGACATATAGATGCAGTAAAAAAATATTCCAATGGGACATTCTATAAATTTAAGGTCCAAAGTGTGACATTTCTGTTCCGATTAAATACTGAAAGGTTTGCGGAAACACCATGTGCGAATAATTTCTCAACTAAGAGAATGGTTCTGAAAAGAACCAGAGGTATAAACTCGACGTTCCGGTCAGTATGCTCTGACCGTCTTAACTTGGTACTTTGTAATTTGTCATTCAAGTATCATTAAGATTGACTTCAAATGATTGTTTATTTGTTGGGAAGGATACGGCACCGTTGCTCTTGATCGCCAGCAGGGGGGGGGGGGGGCGGCCCCACCAGGCCCCCCTTGGCGACGGGCCTGGTAAGATATTTTGCTATTCATAATCACTCTTGGCGGATGACTTCAATAAGGAGTGCGTCAGAATTATAAAATCATAGATGGCAAATGTGACAGCGGCAGGAAAAAGGTGGACCATGAGAAAGATCCTGCTAAAATTGAAGCAATGCACCCTCAAATTTTCAGAATTTAAAATTTGGACTGGGAACTGAAATGCAACATTTCAACATGCCTAGTCACACCAGACTCTAAACCTTCATCCTTATTATTTTTTTGGAACAAACCGCTACTTTCCCACCTCCCTAAATCAAAACTAAATCCTACTTTATACAGATGCCAAATCCTACGCCATATTGGTCCCAATATTGTCACCGTATCAAACAGCGTTACCTTCTTTCGTTCTCGTCCAGATGAGAGAACAGCACGTTCTTGGCGATGGACTTTGACAAGGCCGCCATGGTCTTATAATCTTTGGGGATCACCTGCCAATGAAAAGAGAGCCATTGTTATTTGCTGTTCCAGATTTACACATAATTATGTCTTGGTAAATCAGGTATCATTGAAATTGTCCTTTTGCACTTTGGGTTAATAATTCCAGTTTAATACATTTCATTGGAGATGATATCATAATGACCGCGAACTCTTTGTTACATGTACACATGCATTATTAACATTGCAAAGCAGGCTATAATTAGTATGATCCAAAATTTGAACCATTTTCTGAAGTACATGTATTTAAAAAAAAAAAAAAAAAAATTAAATTAGTTTATTTTGTAACTTTTGTATGGTTTGTTTGTTTGTCTTTTATACTTCCTTCGTTTACTTTAGGATACATTTAACAGTATTCTGTTTAATTAACCTGTTTATTTGTTAAATTACCCAATAACAAGCAAACAAAACTCATGTAGGGAAGATTTTATTTCAAAAATAATAAATTAAACCAAAAAAAAATCAAATTTTGGCCAAATGTGGCAATAACAAGTTTCAAGTCAGCAATTTGGCAAAATAATGTATCCAGGTAGGTCGCGTTACCATAAACCATTATTAAACCATGTGTAACTACATGTAAACATAAAACGTGATTTTACTACATTCTCAGTACATGTACACGATCAAAGACCTGCATAATATGTGTAGTGGTTGGCTATCTCTCGTATTTCTTCATGCATGGTGTGGTTTCTGACTAGCTACCCATTGAAGCAGAGATAATTGCAGGATGCTGATAATAAGCTTGGACAGCTTATACTGTCTTCCGTTCAAGGCACTTGGCCAATACACTAAATGCAGCCAGTAAAATTATGGTAGGACATTGGAGATTTTGCGTCCAAACAATAATGGATGTGGTCAATCACATTTTGCACTGTACATTTTTAAGTTGATAGAAAATACATGTAATTTGAGACTTTGCACGCGACAGCTCACAAATCGATAGCGCCACTTCATTTGTCCGGGCAGTCTGTGTGTCTGCTTTTATTGGACCAACATCTCTTTGATACTGAGGCACTGGGGTAGAGATTTGATACAGAGCTTTGTACACGTATTTTATGCATGCAACCAGATACTACAAAACGGAATCCAGTGTCACTTACAGTCAACGATCAATCATCATGCTGAAATGTATGGGTTTTTTTCTTTAAAAATAAATGTTCTTAATCATATTGAACAATGACATGACATTGTGAAAAGTACCAGTACATAGTGTGCATACTGAAATTACTCAATTACAACTGCAGAATGATTGTCAGTCAGCTATTATTTGGTTATAAATATTAAATATATAGTGCACTCCTGTTAATTTTTAATTTTGTATATATGGCAAAAGCAAATTGTTATGAAATAATCTGTGAAAAAGTTTAAAATTGCCTCGCATTTTGCAATGCAAATCAAAGGAAATCGCTCATTGTTTGAAGGTCTGTACAAATTTGTGTACAGTTAGTACGTGTACATAAATGCATTCTGAATATAGCTGGAGCAATTTTTCTTTCCAAAATTTGTTTGCATTCAAAGTAACACATCAATGCAATTCTAAGGTGACCTACATGTACGTACATTTATTCATTCCTTCTCAAGTACTATCTTTATTTGTACACATTGTGGCGATATAAGACACGTGTGAGTCATTATAACCCAGCAGGACCTTTGGACGCTGAAATCATGGTGATATTCAATCACTTTGCTATGGCTGTTCAGCGCTCACTCAATGCCAACAAGAAGTCCACTGAACTTTAAACAGCATCCTCTTGACTCCCGACTCAAAAGAATCCTAACTGGAATCCATTTCAATGCATTATTACGAGTCAAAGTATAAGTGTGTGTGTGTATGAATGCATGTGTTCTACATAACCCCCGAGACAGACACAAAGGGAGAACAACAGATCCTTTCAGTCCTTGGTCGTTGGGTCTTTTGTTCAAAACGGTCCTCTGTAGTAAGTTTGTGTGCTTAGTCTATGGGAGAGTGTTATACATGTATTACAGGGACAAAGGGAAAGACAAAGCACTGTCCTCTGGAGTAAAGTACAACATGACTGTATGCACTGTAACCCAATTTTTTTATGGTGATTTCCTTGAGTGTTTCTCTTCATTTTGCAACAGATAAACCTAACCCCAAAATCAGGCATGAGAATGAATTTCAATGAAAAATAAAAACAGGAAACTTGTGCAAAGACAGGAAACAAATGTGAAATCAGGCAAAAAGCCCCAAAACGGGCTCACAATAAAAACGCAGAAATTTGGGCAACAAAAAAACCCAGGAATTCCTGTTTAAACAGGAAGATTCTCATGCCTGAAAAATGCCTCCGTTTTACAGAGAGGGGAAACCTAGTGTGGACGTGTGCAAGTCCACAAAGCGTTCACGCTTCCTGCATTATGTGGACCTCTCTGGTTCACAGGTCTACAAAGATGTAAGGTTAGAGCATGTTTGTGCACATACTGAAATACCGGGCACCAGAAGTATCCCAGTTTTTTGGGGGTTCTTTTAAATGTAAAGTTGCACAAAGCCCATCTAAAAAAAAAAAGACGGAACTTATGATGTGGGTTATGTGGTATGCGTGTGTTTACACTGAGATTGTTGTGTTGTATGGTATCAAACAGAATCAGGGAAAGATCATTGCGCATTTCAAGGTGGCACTGAACCACATTATTTAAAATATTTGAATGAAGTTCTTTTTTTTTTTAAACAGGAGCGACTACAAGCGCAAGATGGTGAAAGAACAACTTCTGAAGTTGTTCGGAAAGACTCCAGAGTCTAGCAATGGAAAGTGGATTCCGAAAGTTTGCCTTTCTAATTAGCTAATTAGCTAACCCTAACGATCCGCAACCAGCCAAACTCCAACTCATTTTTAATGAGCTTTTAATGTACCGTAATTTTCGGAATATAAGCCGCGTGGAGTATAAGCCGCAGCACGCAAAAATCTGCAAATTAAAATTTGACGTCAGCGTATAAGCCGCACCGGCGGCGTATAAACCGCACCGACCGCAGCGGTTTCAATTTTTGTAAGACCATGGAGGAATAGTAAGACCTCCAAATTAACACCGGGAAATAAACACCGGGAGTTGCTGCCTGCTGGCCCCTCCGGTCCCCGGCCTAAAGTTAGCGCATGGCCTGGCAGCCTGTGCCGGCAAATGACAACATTTTCCCGCAGCACTTGAGAGACTATGCAACCCACCCATGTGTCGTCTGACTGGAGCACTACAAATCTTGTTTTGTGGCAACAGATGCTGATTTGTTTTGTACTAAGATAAGAATAAAAAGGTCCGTTTTTACAACAAAACTTATCAAATTGTTGTGATTACTAACGAGGAGTATCGTCAAAAATTCAAGTTTGGATTGTAACTTTCTTCGAAAACAGTCAACACGTTGCTGACATTTTTATGGACGAATCCATTAAGGGGTGATTTAGCCCCTGTTTTGAGTTTAACAACGTTTCTTGAATACATTTCAAGAAAAAAAATTATATTGCGACGTTGAACAACTGATTATCGAATAAAAATATGATTTGAACTCCATAAAAAGTATTCGTTGTCTTTTTTCTGTTTTTAAACAGCTAAAATATTGGTCATTATTTTTCCCAAGAAAGTACACCCCTTTATTACCACAAATGGTGTGGTCCATGGGGAATGCATGCAGCATGGCATGCAGCACTAGTATCACATACAGCCGGTTGTCGAAGACGGCTTTCACTCACGCATGGTTGGCCGGCCTGCCGTACTTTTTACCGCTCGGTATATTTTTGTGTTTGTTAATGACTTTCTTAATTGATAATTCATTTCAGCCACATACCTAATCTTAAACCAGTACATTAAATACACATTTGAATCTCATTTTTATTCTTCAAGGCTCGGCATATAAGCCGCCCTGTGTATAAGCCGCAGTAAACATTTTCATGGGCAAATTCAACGTATAAGCCGCGGCTTATATTCCGAAAATTACGGTACTATTATGACTTTTTCATGCGATTAATTTTGCAAAGCGCATTGAGATTTTTCTTTTGATGTAATGCTCTATGAATTATTATTATCATTATTATTTTTACAAGGGTTTGGTGGATTCTCAGCTGTTTAATGTTGTGCATAGTTTAATAGCACAGGGTGTTGGAATTTGCAAGGATGAGGAAGGTTCCTAGTAAATCATTCTAGGGAGTTAGGGTTTTAACCAAATTCCTTTTGGGTTGTCCTCAGCTGCTCCAAATACTTTCTTGTTGGCGCAACTGTAGAAAGCCAGCCTACATTGGGTGTATCATTTCCATCATGTGGAGGATTTTCAGAAATCGTATCAAACTGTGGCGGATCGCACATAGGGCGGATCCTGAACACAATCTACATGTAGATTTGGGGGGGGGCCTCTAGATGCTCTGTGGTGCAATCTGAGGCAATTTCTGACCACTTTAACCAATTTTTTTTAGGAAAAGATGGTGGTGCCTTTATTGCCACGTCACTTAAAACAAAAAATTGGGTTTGTTTTTTGGGAGGGGGGGGGACCATGGCTACCATTGCCCCCCCCCCCCCAATCCGCCCTTGTGCGCACAGTTTCAATCGTGATTTACCTTCTTAACATAGGAAGCAGCATACTCCTCAGTCAACGGTTCCGCACTGAAGGCACCGCGACGCTGGCGTCCTTTAGGCTGGACCACCGGGGGAGTGGAGGCAGTGTCCTCGGGTTCCTCAGCCTCCTCGGTCTGGGGTGCGGCACTGGGTGTGGCGGGGGAAGCTTTGGGTTTCTCCTGCTGCTCCTGAGGGGGAGGGGGAATTATAGAGTTTCATTTTAGTATGCTGTAAATATGTGGTTTCTAGAGATACTGACTTGTTTTGCTAGTTAATAAAATCGACATTACGTGGACAATTTACACTCTTTTTTTACAGTATCAGAAAGTTTCATTTTGTAAATATGTGGTTTCTAGAGATACTGACTTGTTTTGCTAGTTAATAAAATCGACATTATGTGGACAATTTACACTCTTTTTTTTACAGTATCAGAAAGTCTGTTTTGGACCTGGGTTCAACCCTTCGATCTCGGGCACCCCTTTAATAATAATCCTAACTCAAGGTGAACTCAACACTAAGGAGCGACAATAGTGTGCAAAGGCATTATGAATAAATAGGAGTGCATACAGTACATGTGGGCAGGCACAGAATGACATACAATTGATACAATTGTGACACATACTGTATTGTGACCCGAGTCTTGTGATACACGCCGTTTACTGAAAAGTACATGTAGCACATATTGTACATGCCTGACTTATCATCAGTGCATTCCACCTTTTTCCAATTTCGTGGCTCTGGCATGAAATTCAGTACTTAGGCTCATTATTCTGCACTCATCTTCTAATCTTTAATCTTTCAACAGAATCTTTAATTAACCCCAACTCCCTAGTCATTTTTTGCTAGGATAAAACCTCAATCCTGCAAAATTCTCCAACTGCCTCTATGTAAAAAATGCAGCTTCAATCGTCCAAAATCATCCGTGATTTCTTGAATGTGGTCCTTGGAGGGGTGACCACTGCCTCAATCCTGCAAAATCCTCCAGAAATCACTGTCAATATGTTGCGGCAGAGCCAGTGACATCCTGGAGCACTGCGGAGGATTTCAAGTATAGTCTAGGCCTAAAATTATGCACAGATGAGCATTTAACACAAGGTCCGGCCTAAGACTTTGATGCAGTTCATTCTCCAAAATTAGCCACACGTTTTTGCCATAGATTCTATCCTGCAAATCCTCCATTTTGCAAAGAGGATTATGGAGGATTTTGGAAAGGTTAGGGTTAATGAAAAGTATAAAGTACATTGTACACGTTGTACCGGTATACAGGGTGAGTAAAAAACAAACGAAACCCAAATGTCGGGACCATTGTTTTAGTGAAGTTCTGCATGTAGCACTTTTAAAATCTAGGATATGAAAGCCCAATTCATAGGCTTTCTTTTAGTAGAGGAATCATTCAAATCACTCATGTACTTTTCAAGTTACGGAGTTTTAAACACAACCCCCGTTTTCAGGTTCTGACCAAGGATCACAAAAAAGTTCAGTGTTCTTTCAGCAAAACGAAAAAAAAATCACATAGGGATGTGCGAGAATTGTTTTCGTTTTGCTGAAAGAAAGTACACCTTTTTTATGATCCATGGACAGAACTTTAAAACGGTGGTTGTGTTTAAAACGCCGTAACTTGAAAAGTACATGAGTGATTTAAATGATTCTTGTACTAAGGCCAAAAAAAAAAAGTCTCCGGTTTCTGGTATGCGCGCGCGTCGCTGTAGCCATGCACGTCGGCAAAATGAAAAAGTTTTTTTTTCAATGAAAGATGATGTCTCAAAACCGCCAAACTCACTGGTTTGACTGGCATCCTGCTGCTGCACAATTTTAATGTGTTTTTAGATGGAGTTACACGTATGGTCGAGAATAAGCTTTATGTGGCCTCTCTGGACTCCCAATCCCATATAGGCACCATTTGCAGTCATCACACGGCATTTGAAGCAAAAAAGTCAGGGAAAAAAAAAAAAGCCGTGTCGCCGCACCACTTTTTGGGCAAGTTCCATACCAGAAACCGGAGACTTTTTTTTTTTTGGCCTAAAAGAAAGCTAATGAATTGGGTTTTTATATCCTAGATTTTGAAAGTGCTACATGCAGAACATCACTAAAACAATGGTCCCGACATTTGGGTTTCAGTTTTTTTTACTCACCCTGTACTGTATGAGACTATGAGTGCAATCCGCCTTTTTCCCAATGTCATGGCTGTGCTAATCATGAAATCCTGTGCTTAGGCTCATTATTCTGCACTTTATCTTCTAATCACAGAATCTTTAATTAAAAGAAATATGCAGACAAGCCGAAGCTTCTTGCTGACCGCAAAGAGCCCAGAATTTTTCTGAAATCGGGCCAAGTATCATACATGTATCAGCCTGTATACCACTATAAATACATACCGGTATATTGTGAAAAATCTTTACACTGTGATCTAAGTCAGCACTCTATCTTTTTGTAATTCAATATTTAACACAGGAAAATGCACTGCCAGTTTATTCAACCAGAACACACACACACACAAAATACATACATATTTCCAATACAACTGTTGAGAAAACTGTACAGTCAATGGGACATCGATGTTTTTCCCCCTTCAGTCTACAGTTACGAGAATATTAGCATGCAGTTAATTGCACGTTTTACTGTAGCAGTGTACGGTGTAGTTGTAATTTAATTTACAGTAATTACTACAAAGCTGACGTGCATAATTAATGCATGGTCACCTCATTAAACAGGAGGCATTAACTCTTTCACTGTCTAGCGAAGTCGTGCAAACACGTAGATACACTGTATACGTTTGTTAGGGAACAGCGTATACACACGAGTACGAGTATGTTCATACAAGACCTTGGCATTGGATGTATTTTCATGTTCATGTAGTATGGCTCTTTATCTATTCTGTGTATTGTTTTTTAAAGGGAATATACAACATTTGCCGTAATTTTCAGAAATTGATGGTTTTGGGGGTTTGTATTTTATAGCAGATATTATTTCACTTTTACGTTCGTAGATGCTAGAAAGCCAAGAAAAAAACAATTTTGTTCCTGTAGTCTGGTTCCCTGACCCCACTTAACATGAAACAGAGTAACTTCAAGACGTTGGGGAATTGTACATGTAAGTTCAGGGAACCAGTCTAGCTGGCTTGCAACCATTCACGGACGTGTAACCGATTGCAAACAAAAAATGTGGACCGTAAATTTGGTAATTGAGGGTAGCAGTCGAAAAAAAAGTCAGCCTGTTTTCCCAACGCTGGTCGGCTGACCAGCATTGGAAATTATACAAAAATACCCCTTGCCTTGAAAATAACAGCATACCACGTGCCATGATTTTACAGGATGTTTTAGACTGCCATTAAAGACAGTCCAGTAAGGTTTTTCAAAATAATTTGGTAGTTTTGTTTTTTGATGTGTGCAAATGTTGCACATTCCCTTTAATTGGACATACATATCCTCATAATTATACGTGAAGATGAAATTAAATTTTTCCATATGTCCCACTGCTTATACGGTTAAGTATTTATAATTACAATGTATGCAATGATTTACAATCAAGCATTTAAATCCACAACTGAAATGCCGCAAATTAAACCATGCTTCATAATTCTTGCAAAGCTAATATAACATTTATCAATTGCTAATTTTCCGGCAACGAAGGTAGGTTAAATTATTTGATCATTTCTCCTAAAAAGGAAAAAATAAAACATTGAATCATATTTAAAGATGGTAGAGGTACTTAAGAGAGATAAGGATGTTAATAATATTGTCACGCATCTTTAAGATTGGTTCAAAGAAAACCTCACAAAGGGTTGAAATGCGTAGAATGAGCGCCGGTCATTGTATTGACTGTGTGACAGCAGAGATTCCCTCGCTGTATTTATTTTACTAAGTGGAAGAGTTTCTACAGCGGCCTTGCTCAATGGAAAGGCCTCCCATCACTGTGTGTGTGTGTGTCTTATGTGATACAGAATGACCAACTGCTTTATTATTACTGTGCTACACTTCAACATAAATTAGCATTTTTCTTGCTGAGGGCTCTTTTTCCTTTATTCGTGAATGGTGTTATATTAGTCGTTCTATAGGCCTAAATGTTGGGTTCAAAGTGTGACATATTCCTGTCCCTGTTACCTTGGTACTTTTAATTTGCCATCAAGTATCATTAAGAATGACATCGAACGACTTTTATTTGTTGGGTACATGTACATGTACATGAAGGTAGTTTGCTCTTAATCATAATCACTCTTGAAGGACGACTGCATTAACCCTTACCCCATGAGCGCTTTTACTAAAAAGTATCCAGAATCCGCCAAAATCCACCTATTGTGTCATGCACAAACATTTTGATGTAGGTGACTGCTCAGTATAGAGTATCCTGAATCCATCAAAATCCTGCAGTACTTACCGCTAGGTTTACAATTCTCAATCCATCAAAATTCCCCAGTTTTCAATATGGAGGTACCCTGAATCCGCCGAAATACTCCAAAACAGGGGTATGGATTTTGATGGATTCAGGGTGGTTAGTGTGAAGGAGTGTATCAGAATTTTAAAATCATAAATGCCAGAAAAATAGTGGACCCCAAATTTATAGAATGACCCATATACACGTATGTGAATTTACATAATTATTAAAATGTTCAGAGAAATATACAACAAATATTTTGCAATTTATACAGTAATTCAAAGTAACGGTAATTACTTTGCCGTCCATCTTGTGCCAGGATACGGTATGGAAATTCAAATGCAGAGGTGCTAGTCACCTGTTTTAACTTGACACCCCTTCCCCCACAGACTTTACCCATTTTTTTAATCATTTTAACCTGTGCAGATTAGGGCAGCAATCAACGAGTGCCAAGTCCCAAGTCCGTCAGTTATTGTGCAATAATTGAATCAAGTCCCAATTCTGACCTTGGGATTCTGTGCAAGTCAGAAAATTTCAACTCAAAATTTTAATTCACGCGAGTTGTACAATACCTTCCGGATTGTTCCCCTCTGCGGATTAACCTACATGTACATGTACATGATGTGAATTGGTGTTTATATGTGGGAGGTGCTGTTACTTTACAAAAACAATAACAATTGGACGTGGTACTGCTTTCGATACTGTCTGAATTGTTAAAGAGGCACATAACAGATTTAATTTGCAGGATTTGCAAGGCAACATGTGCATTCACACATTCAGAATGATTTGCTGAATATGATACTTTTTTTAATTGCAAATTAACATGTCTCAATGTGCAAGATGATGGTACTTCATGTACAAATTTGTACAATGTACCTGCACATTAATTAATATAGTTAAATCACGCAAAATACACAGTATCATACAAACAGTTTCTTTTATCAAGGAACATGTTTTCCCCTTGTTACAATTTTTACCGTAGAAAGCATTTATTTTAATCAGCTACACTTGATAATGTCAAGATGAAGTAATTTATTGCAGCACTGTTTGCCGCTTGAAAAGTGATGCCAGTAGCTTACATGCTCATTAATTCATAAGAGAACATGTTCCATTTGACTCAGATTTCCTGAAATCCAATTTTCAGGGCCAGCCATTATGAAAATGAATTAACCACCGAAACTCTATACTACCGCGTCCCAAAGTGGTTAAATATTCATCACGGGTCCCACGACTGATATGCTTTTACCACGAGTGCGGCACGGGCACAATTACATGCACGGCGCTCACAGCACAAGTAATAATACATGCTGTGCATCTTTACTGATGCACGCTATGCAAACATGTGATCGGTAAATATATGTAGGCCAGTCGTACAATGCAATAATAATCCACACTGTTCTAGTAGGTTGAAAATGTGGCCTCTATACTTAGCGCTGCATGACCGATTCTCAAAAGTGGGCTAATATTAATTATTGAGCGTTATATTCTTGTTGTGTTGAATGTATTAACTGGCTATTGATGGGCAATTCATAAATAAATTACAGCTGAATTTATTGAACATATAGAGAAGGACATTGGGTTTTTTAATGACAATAAATAAATATTTCTGATAAATATTAATGAAAGGGCTATTAAGTATTATTTTCCTTTTCAACAATGTCCAACTTTCATTGACAACAATAAAACAGCTCCATTTACAACTTAGTCTTTTTTAAAATCTATCTCATTTACAAATTGTGCATTAATTGGCAATGCCAGTAACTTTATCGCCATTTCAAAACTGAACATGGCTCAGTCAACTTTTCATCAGATAAACTGTTTTTTGTTTGTCTGTTTGTTCGTTTGTTTTTTCAATGCAGGCACCAGTAACTTGTTTGCTAGTTCATGTTGCTTTCTGGTTTCTATTTGAATATTTTTTTTAAGAAAATGGAATTTAAAAAGGAAAAAAAGAGCCAAAAACACTATCATGTAGCCACTTTTGGTGGGAAAACTGGAATTGTTCCTAATTTTGAAAATAGGAAGGGATGCCAGTAAGCCAGTTCGGTATTCAAGCTGCGCATGTGCACACCAAGATTTGATGATTTTTCTTTCGGGATAAACATTTCATCGTATGCGTGCAAAGCATAGCGGCGTACCAGCAAAATTGAAGAGATCATCGTGTTCTGAAGTAACATTCTGCAAAAAAAAAAAAATGCTTGGACAGCGAAGTGTTTTTAGGTGTCTGGTGTGTCCAAAGTTTTATGCAAAGTTTCCATCTCTGTTCGATTGCACGAAAAATTACAAAAGGCAGATTTGGTTACCGCGTCCCCCATTCATAGCCTTGTGTGCATTTATCTGCCACGTTTATCCCGAAAAAAAAATCGTCGAATCTTGCTGTGCACCAGACTATTTTGGAATACCTAACTGGCTTATTGTGGTGCATTATACCGCCTCCATGTGTTTTAAGAATTTTTCACTACCCAATATTGCCATGGCAAAGATTTTAGAGTGACTTTTTCCTCAGATTTCCTGGATAAAAAAAAAACCAGAAAATGAGGAGTTTGCAAATTAGCCTTGACCCTTCCGATTAAAAATTACATAATACAGAGTGGTAATGACTCATGAGGAACTAACACCAATCCGGCACTCAACTGGTAATTGACAAAAATGAGGAAATTCCAAATTTTGCAAGAGTTTATTGATTTTTAGCTATTCCGAAGAAAGAAATTGCGTGCCTGGCTGATGCAAGAGTACATTCGCACACATACCTCTTCAAATCTTGCCAAATTTGACGCCATCACCTCAAAGTCCACCAAGTTGACCAATCAGACATTGCCAGTCCAATAAAGTACTGACAAGATTCACTCACTTCTGCCTCAAAATACTGACTGAGTGACTGCCAAACACAACGTATTCTTGACAAAAAGCCACTAAAAAAACACCGGATGTTTAGCCACAGCACTGGCCACACGTACTGACACAGGCAACAGCGGATACAAAATGTATGGAAGAGTGACAACTTTCGAGATTTATACTCTGGCTGACTGAACTACGCACAGAGGGATTAAATCAAGATATACACAGAATTATGATTAATTTCACCTGAAGGTATTCCCTGCACAAACAAACGCTGGATTTGACATTTCGACTGGACAGAAATGCTTAGATTAGTCTAACCTGGGGTTCGTATATAAGTACTGCAGCAATGACGCCATTGGTACAATGTAGTATTACCCATGGGTTGGGATGCTTTGAGTGTTCCAGAAGTGGGCTGTGATCACGCCCCCGTTACCGTCAAAGGGGTAGCACTCAAGATCATAACTTCCAAAGAGAACTTTCCACGGAGTTTATTTCTTGAGATCCTCATTAGCATTTTCCCAGAGTAAATAAAACAGCTTCAAGTGCTCTTCAACATGCAAGTCGTCCGACATGGTAAAGGCGCACAATGCATCAAAACCATCGCAGAGTCGCGCATCCGTGACGACAACCGCCTGCAAAAACACTTCAAGATCTGAAAAAACGAGGAGTGGAGTCGCTTTCAAATTTCCCACCAGAATTTCTCCGAAGCGTGGGTCCTCCCAAAGGCCTACTTCTGGTAAGACAACTGGACTTGTCGGTCGCTTCTGTGAGTGTGAGTGGGCGGGACCCCACATGCTACAAATGGACGCGTTACAGAAAGCAACCCAGCACTTCAACCTTTCCATGTCATGCAAAATGGATGGATGTGTTTGTATCCTTAACAAATATTTACCACATATTTGATCCTTCAGTGAATATGAAAAAGGTACTAAGTCATGCCCTTGGTGACATTCGCACATGCCTATAAATGTTTCTCTGTAACAATAACAGGATCAGGAAGGTACCTTTGAAGTTACATTTTTCAGTTACGGAATGATGTCTTTTTAAATACTTTTTATTATTTGGTGCTGAAATAGAGTATTACTCTAATTACCAACACTGTCGAGAGTGCATGACATTATAAAAAAAATAAGCTCACATAATAAGTTAACCTAATCACTTTTTCTATGGAATTCATTTGAAAATGAGGAATACATACTTTATCAAATTGTTTTGGTAATTCATCTGTCATGGTTGTTTATGTAGTTCAGTGGTGCACCCAGAATTTGGCTGGGTGGGGGGTCAGATTTTTTTTTTTTGAATTTTTTTTAGAAGTTTGATTTCTGTTAAAAAAAAGGTGCCCAAAATTTGGCAGCGGAAAAATATTTTTTTGGGGGGGGGTGGGGGGGGGGGGAGGAGGACGGACTATTTTGACATTGGTGGCGCCATTTATACCCCTATTATTATACTACTCGCAAAATAGGCCACAAACATATCACCATCGTCAAATCATAGGACTAAAAAAAAAATTGAAAACCCCCCAAAAATTGACAACCTCTTGGGGGGGGGGGGGCTGATCCCCCCTGCGCCACTGATGTAGTCAAACAGAAACTGACTGTATACAAAACTGCTTGTAAACGTGATGAAACCACCCCTGACCCTAAAAAACAACAAACCTAACACTGAGGTCACCAGTTGTCTAGACAGAATTACCCCCATCTAAAAATAGAAACATACCAGATTATTTTTGGGAACAGAAAAAAAGGAATATTGGTTAATTTATTAGACAGATTAAATTTAATTTAATTCACTGAGCACACAAACTAAGTGGAAGATGTTTACAGCCCACACAATAGAATTTCTTTTACAATTTCTGACTGATCACCATTTCCGGAAAAACACTGGGAAAAAAAGTGAGAGTCCAACATTTGGTATACATCTGACCCATTTTGATAGAACCTAGTACATTTTCAAATGATTTCACTTGAAAAAAAAAGACAGTCATCGACACCTCTTGTCCATGTGTGACAAGTGAAAATATGCTTGGTATGATTGGTATGTCTCACTCACACTACTAACCGGCGGTGATTCACTGGCCTGAGCAGGGCCATCCGATGAGGCTTGGGCCTGAGTGCCAGCGCCGTCCTGAGGTACTGTTTGACGAGATTGAGTCGTGGAAGCTTTCCCACTGGAAGTTTTCTTCCTCCTTCGGAAGAAATTCAACATGTTCGCGAGTTTGTTTTGGAGGGAGTGACAAAAACGAGGCGCCGGGTGCGCCTTGTTTTCACCGCCCGACAAAAAAAAACGTCTTGGAAGATGTACACACAAACACACGCGGAGAAGTGAATCCTACAGGTTGTCGGTCTGTCCGTTAATTCACATAATCAGCTATCGCGAACCACACCATTGTTGCAATACATGTAGAGGAAGCCTTTCATTCAGAGCATAGTTAAATTACATCCAGGAATGCATTATGATTGAAGCCCCGCTATCTACGCCTCGTGACCATCCCATCGCGTATCCATCTGGAGTCAGCGGAGATCGGAATCGCTAGCTACATGTAGTGTACCGGTATGTACTGAACGTGTACACGCGCGCCCGTTGGTTCAACCACCGGTCCGGAAAATGTACATCAGGAATTCATACCAAATGAGCTGGGGCTAGCCGCTATTCGTGCGTGTGTGAGCCTACACACGACATTATACAAGCCGCGGGTTTAAGTTGAAGAAAAAAAAAATTATGCACGCGGTCGTGAGAATCCAGCGCTGCTTATTACTTGTCCAATCTCGCCACATTACAGTGCTCTATGCGATGGCGGTACAACCATCGTACACTGTATTGTACATGTACATGCACATTATGCACGCCTACTACAGCAGAACACCCCACTACTACGATCCACCTGTACCCACGATCCCGATATATTTTATGAATGATAGCCTTTGACCCTCCTAACCCAGACACGTTTAACGAGCCATGGGTATGAACCAGGCTATAACCTTCAGTTGTTTGCCGATCGCGCGCGATCTCTTCTCCACTGATGATCCGTAGGTCGGTCGACGTTGCCTCGCCGACGACCGTTTGTTGATCAAGTTTGTGGGCTGCTGCATGTGTTACGAAATTGGTAATGGTTTCGGAATATTTTTTTCGGATACAACCGAGTTCTTAATTTTCGAGAGGCATACGCAAAACGTTTGAACGCAATATTGGATCTAGTAACAGAACATGTAAAATCTATCCGAATCGTTTCCGATCGACATGCTACAAAATGTATTCGATTTCATTACGAACTTAACAGCCCTGACCAAGAATCGTACCAAATTCACACAAGGCAAGAACCAACATCATGGTCTCTAAATCGAAACACCTTCTCGGCCAGCATCTCCGTTTTGAGAAATTAAACTGCGACATCTTCGAAGGAAAGATACTTTCTTTTAGCAACACCAATCGCTATGCGATGATGGTGGCTTCATATCTTGGTACAATCTTCATGAATGACGCTATGAGCTACAGATAATTGTATGCAGCCTGAAAATCGGCAATGCTTAGCCTGCAATTACAATTTACATCCATAAACGTGGGGGAAAAGCAAAGCTAGAAGGTAAAGCGGAATGAACTTGACCATGACTTCCCAAACACTCAACTGGTAGGTCGTGTCAATAACACTTGTCTACCGTACGACACCGCTTTGAAACGGTTTTGTTCAATGATAGGCGTGTGTTTGTACAGATAGCGCGACGTTGGGAAAAACAAAAATATATGTATCCTAAAGTTTTACTGGCGCAGCGCCCAAAGTGTAAACTTTCCATGCAAGATCCCCACATTTGGAGAGAGATTATTTCCGTAAATTCTCTCTCACGCTAGCGGTGATATATTACTTACACATTAAATGTTCAAGTTTAAATTGAAAGCGCAAAATTGTACTAGTCGTTATCTTAAACTATACCAAGACTGTTCCTATACCAAGGCACCTTTTATACCTGGTGATTGTATTTATTGTAACTTTTGTTGTATATCACTGAACTGCCCCATAACACGTTTCAATCACGACCGCAACACGTTCACTAACATGGGAACTACGATTACCTCTAAACACGAAGCCATTCTTGTCTGATAGGAAGACAGGAGTCCACCTCGAACTTCACCAGACCACAGGATGTGATATCCAAGGAATGAAACTTGAAACGCGCATCAAGGGAACTCTCTTCAAGCAGACTGAAACTCGCGTCTCCAAGACAGGTCCTACCCCGTTCCGTCATAGCCACGCGTGTAGTCAAAGAGTATAACACCCAAAATTAACGGAGCTCGGTTATATCCTTCTGGACATTTTCAGCTTAGGGGTAACAACTAGCAAGTACAGTCTGTCATTTAAGAAAATGACAAGTTACTAAAAGGTGAGAGGACGTGGCTAATCAATGGTTTCCTCGCAGTGAGTCCCGTGAAGAGAAGCATATGATCAAGGAATCCTGCCCGCTATATCCGGCTTGCCAGCATTAAAAATCCGAGCAGTCTTACCGGAGAAAACAAAATAATCCACTTGTTTGCCTGTGAGGGGGTCCACCCTATGAAATATTTATGCAGAGAGCTCACTGAAAAACACTGTAGAGAAATCTGTCGGGTGGGGACAAAAAGTACGGAAATCTCCCAGGAGAATCCAGTTTTCGCAGCGATAGCTCTGAAAAGGGAAATGTGCACCTGCTGCGAAATCAACCATTCTGACATAACTAATTAGTCTCTGTCGGCTGGCTAAAAACTGCATTAAAAAGCATGCAGGGGTCTGACCATGGTTTAACCAACTAGTTGAGGAATACTGATGTCACTGATATGATGTTGGACCACCAAAAACACCCATAACGCGTGCACCTACATACGTGACTGCCCTGTCCGTCCTGGTGTTGAATTTACCATGAGCAGATTGATCGATAAGTTGGGAGGGGGGAGATGCAAACCTACGTACGAACGAACATGCAGGTACACGTTCGTGGCTCCGCCAGGCTAGAAAGTCAAACCTATGTCTCTTTTATTTTTGACGATTTGGTGGAGATTAAGCCTGATAAGCAGTCAATCATTTAAATTTGACAATTGTGTACACTGACGCGGCTTTTGTAGAAATTGGTTGTGACGCTTGAAAAAAATGTAGGCCATAATATTATAATATACGAGGGCCACTGCAGTACTAATAATGCATGACTTTAGTCTTGACTCCTTCCTTGTTTCAGCTTCTTACATTTTTAAGCACTGTCCTTTTTGTGTGACTTTAATTACTGGCATTTTCCAGTTTCTATAAAATCGAAATCTGTGTCTGGGTCGCCGATGAAAACAACGACTGCCTATACATGCAGTGTGGCCCACACAAAAAAAACGGAACAGCATCTTTCAACTACCTTGAGAATCAAACCACCCGTACGAATGGATGGAGAATCTTTTTAGAAGAAATGTGATACCAGATGTCATTACATAACAATAATACCTCTATCCAACGATTTAGTAATTCATCGGGACAAAACGACTCCCAACTTTGTTTCACAAAATAGGTTGTAGTACCAAAACTACTGGACCGAATCGGACGATCTTGGTATCACTTTTCTTTTAACAGAATTCCCCATGCATTGGTATAGGTTGTTTGAGTCTCAGGGTAGCGGAAGTACGCCGTTCGGGTTTTTTTTGGGGGGGGGGGGGGGAGGTGGGGGCACCCTGAATATATAATTATATCCTTTCACATTTTCTCCACACAACAAATGTATAGTGCATACATCCCTACTTAATCCTCAAATGATCACAATCACGGAAAACGCAAAAAATATGATAGAGCTTTACCAATCGGCGTACACAACTCTGCGTTTATAAAGATTCTGTTAAAAAAAAGACAGACTTTTGGAATGTCATGGCGTTCCCGGCTGGAGATGCATCACGATGACTTGGTACTTATCGTATTTTCGGAAACCTCAATTACAAACGACTTTGACATGGCGCCTTGCAGGATCAACGTCACGCGTGCACGTCTCAAAGTCACAACAAACCCAAAACAGCAATTAAGGAGCCTCTAAGATCAAGTGGGAACGGGGTCTAAGCTGCTTAGCAAACTACCATTAACTCCTGACAAGATAGGCCTAACCGTCTGGGATCTTTTCAAGTCCGGAAAAAAAATATCAGATGTGACGAGGATTTGCATGGCGATCTAGTATGATTGAACTTTCACACTTGTCATCTGAATTCTAAACTCGTTCCCAGGGACGTCAAACTCGTCAAACACAATCCTACACAGGAGCTTACTGGGGCGACCTTTCCGACCACATCGACGATGACAAAGACAAAGATATTCACGTATTCAGACTTTAAGGGGCAAGTTTACGACGTGCAGCTCAAAATTCAACCCAGTCAGCAGATCACGATGATGATAAGTTATTGTAAATTTTTAAGCTCATCACGTATCTGTTCTTAACACTTATTAATCCACAGCCCCACTTTGTCTCAACAGAACAGAAAGCAATAACTCCAAAGAAATATGATAAGAAGTACGAGATACATGTACTTGTCGTATATTTAGACACAACTGCTACTTTACTTCGTTTCATAATTGTCGTACTCATTTGCCATTTGCGTTAAACAATAATAACACGCTTATACAAGCCGGGTTGTAGGTAGTATACTGATTAAATCTGTCTATGTGGAAGATAAGCTATTATCCACTGCAAAAATTCGGGTGATTCCAGCAATAGAATGACTGATATTGATTTTATGTTTCCAAAACAGATCGGTTCTATTTTGGTATCCCAGGAAGCTGCCAGATGCAATGCCATCAATAAAGACAGGGGGTACGAAGGAACAAAAAAAACCCGTTAAGGTCAATAGCATTCTCTTGGATGCAACGAGTGACTTGCTTACGTCTTCTCCATCATGATAAACTCCTTGATGAAAATCTGTTCCCGGCCAAACCACCTGCTCTTCCGATAACCGAGGCGAGACAACGCGGTAGGCAAAGACGATGACAAGTCACTCGAAGACAGACGCTCAATCAGAGGTTTCGTAACAAGCGCTTTGTGAGCATGATGCAATGGAAATAGACCCTGGTTCAAAGATGATCGAACTTTCATAATAGTTCCCTCCCTCTTGCAAAATATGGTGTGCAAATTGGTATAAAGTCATGAAACTTGGCACAGATGGTCATTGGTGGATAACGAAGAAAACCTGATATAAGATCACTTCGTCCTTACTCAATAATTGGGATAATTTACCTAGTTGTGACCCACCCCATCAAAATGAGGCACAAGTCGCCAACAATGGAAATCATGAGGAGTAGCCACCCTTTTCACCCAAGTAATATCTGTATGATATCAAACTTAGTGTATATCTAACTGAAGTGCAAATTATGTGCTTCCATACTGCATGTGAAATCCTACAAAGTGAAAACCTGTCCTTAAGACTCCTTTTGTTGGATCAAGTCACAATTATAATAATTTGGCTATAAAAACTGCAAAGACCATCATATCGCTGGCTCTCCGGCAATTTTTCTAGCTTTGGGGATAAGCATAATTAGGCTATTAGGATATGCAAAGGACATCTGAATGCACTGAAATTAACATAAATCGACTCAAGACCTTGGAATACCCCATTTTTGATCCAACAAAATGAGTCTTAAGGGAACAAAAAATCATTTTGGAGAAGTGTTGGATATTTATATTGGATGGCTTTGAGGGGAATACAAGAATATACTGTTATAGCGATAGTGCAATATATTCTTGTAGCCCCCTAAAAAAAAACATCTAATATTATTATTATTATTATTATTTATATCAGGCATACTTGATTCAAAAGAAATAAATTTAATGTCGCTGTCTTGTAAATATCGCTGACTGTCTTCCTCAATACATGACATGTAC